AAATTTTTTTTTTTTTTTTTTTTTTTGTCTCGGTTGTTTTATTGACTGGTATATGTTTTGTGTTTCAGGTCCTCTTCCAGGGAAGCGGCAGTCGGGTCCACCAGCACTCCTTTCAAACAATCTAGCGTTTACGCTCGCTCCGACGGCGACTGGAGTCCCCACCAGAGGTGCCTCATTTGCTCAAACCTAAATTCAAAATGTGTGCATTATTTTGTTCTAACGCCTTCCACCCCGATTTCTCAGCCCTGGAAACTCATGTCCCGCTTCTCCCAAAAGTGATTCTGAGCTCATGATGAAGCCGTCCACCGCAGGCAATCAAGATTCAGCCATGCACTGGCCGTGGGGGGAATTGCCACAGGCTGCCACTGTAAGCAGCATTATGAACACTTTCCTCTCTTCGTGAATGTTTCATGTCCTCGGTATGTAACGTGACCCCCAACCTCCTCTCCAGCCATCCTTCCTTTCAACGAAAGGCGACCCGCCGCCAATCGGTCCCGTGTCCATCCCGGTATCGCAAAGCACGCATTTCAGAGCCATCCCTCATCAGGTGTCCGAACGGCCGCCCCACGGCGAGGAGCCGGCCGTCGCCAAGGCGATGGAGACGGACTCTGTGACATTGACGGATGGTGCGCCGTCCCATGTGACATCAGACTTGGAGGACGTGACGGGACGGCCCTTGGGAAAGACAGACTCCCCGTCCAAGAAAAAAGGTAATACGAAATATGAGTTTTATTTGGGCCGGCGCGGTGGGCGACTGGTTCGCACATCTGTCTCACAGTTCAGAGATGCGGGGTTCGATTCCGGCTCCGGCCTTCCTGTGTGGAGTTTGCATGTTCTCCCCATGTCTGTGTGGGTTTTCTCCGGGTACTCCAGTTTCTTCCCACATTCCAAAAACGTGCATGGCAGGTTAATGGAACACTCCAAATTGTCCCTAGGTGTGAGTGTGAGCATGAAGGGTTGTTTATCTATGCATGCCCAGCGATTGGCTGGCAACCAATTCAGGGTGTACCCCGCCTGCTGTCCAAAGACAGCTGGGCTAGGCTCCAGCATGTGACCCTCGTGAGGGTAAGTGGATTCGAAAATGTATATGTGTGGGTGTGTGTGTGTGTGTGTGTCTGTCTGGCGGAAATGCAGAAGAGTTCGCTCAATGACACATTTTCAGAAATAGATTGACTTGGTTGTTTAATTTTACCCAAGATGGGTGGATATACTGGACACACTTCAGAGACCCAGCTATTTGCGCACGGGCCATTAAAAAGTCCGTGTGAATGCCTAAAATGAAAATGTGTGTTTTTGTAGATAAAAGGAGCCGCCATCTGGGCGCTGATGGAGTTTACTTGGATGATCTCACAGAACTGGAGCCTGAAGTGGCTGCCTTGTATTTCCCAAAGAGGTACAGCATGCGCTTCCCAAGATTGAAACCGCCCTTTACAGGGGTTACCTTCCACTCCTTAGTCATCCAAAAAATACCACAGAATTGTTTGTCATGTGTTTTTTTAATGTGATTTAATGTGATATTATACTTTATAAAAAGATACAGCAAGAATTTAATAGAATGTGATGAACTTGAACAGTTTTTGCCACATTTTTGCTTCAATTCAGTGGACATTGTACTGCTCTTTCTGGCATGTTTGCCTTAGCAAGTGGGGGCAGTATGCTACAGATAAACTTTCTGAGCTCCTCAGTACATCAATTAAAATTAGTCGTTCTTTGCAGAGGACAAAGAAAATATCCTTGTGAGTACTGTTACATTACCCATCTACATGAGTTACTCCACCGTCAAGTTAAAGCATAAATCGTCCGCCAGACTATGGCTTAAATCTCAACGTGTTCACGGCAGGGCTTGGTCTATTTGCAGAGGATAACTGGATTCATATTTTTTTTCTTTGGTCACAGTGACAGCGGCGCAGCAGTTAGGAGCGTGTCGGACCCGGGCCCCCGCAGCTCTAGCCTCTCCCCGCAGTCGCTGAGCTCCGGGGGAGACAGCGGCGTGGACGGCTTCAGTGACCCGATGGGCGACTTGCCCTCCATCGCCATCTCGCTTTGCGGCGGCCTCACCGAAAACAAGGAGGTCGTCAAAGGTAAGGACGCTCACGGAGGGATCGGCCTCGGACGCCACAAAAAAACTTACTGTCCACTTCCGTGTTGACGCTCACAGAGCAGTTCCACGCCAAGATCATCTCATACCAGCAGTTTGTTCAGAACCCGTCGGTCATCGACGACCCCAACCTGGTGGTGAAAATCGGCTCCAAGTAAGACGCGGAATCTGGGAAAATATTAGAAATCAGAAATTAAATCACAGTCCACTCAAGTTACTGGAGAGGAGGGGGTTGGGGAAGTGGCAGTAAAATAAGTCAAAATCCCGATGTCATTGTTTGCGTAAAGGTGTGGTTTAACAAAATGCAAGAGTTTAAAAATTCACTGAAGTCTTAAATACAGATTTTTACATTCCAACAGGGGTAGCTGCTCTAATTTTTTGCACGTTGGGCATTGTAGAGGACAGAAGCCTGAATAGAAAATACCCTGGAACCTGCTGATATCTAATTTGAGTCACCAAAACACATGTTGCGTAACTACGACCCGGAATGGAACACACAGTACTACTAAGTCAGCATGATAGGAAAGTGCGAAGCCATGTAGTATGTATTTCATGAGCAAATTCCTTGTCGTACTAGTTGCGTCTCTAATCATCCAGAGGCAAGCCTTGCCTGTTGTAATTCTGGTTATCAAGAACAGACTCTTTGAATCAAAATCAAATGATTGAAACTTGCTTCATGAGGTTTCCTCTAACTCCGCATTGGGGGGGGGGGGTGAGTTCATTGGTCTGGATGTACCCCCTGATATTGGCTGGCGACCTGTCCACGCATGACCCCATGTGTAGGACCAAACCACTTTTGGATCAGATCTCAATAAGCTCTGCAGGTGTACCTAATGAAGCGGCCAGGGAGTGTTCAACTGTCATGAGCTGAGTTTTTTTTTTTTTTTTTTTTCTAAACTGATATAAATACACCTGCGCTTTCCTTGCTCAGATACTATAACTGGAGCACTGCTGCCCCCATCATGCTGGCGATGCAGGCATTTCACAAGCCGCTGCCAAAGGTAGGACACGTCTCACAGACGCACTCGCTACAAATGACGCACTTGCATCCGTTTGCATGAGCTCAATTTGTTTCTTGCTCGTACGTTACTGGCACATAATGTACAAGTTGAAGGTTACCTTACGTCAACTCTTCCTTCTGTCCCTCCTCCCTGTTCATTTGCAACCACATTTATGCATTAGTACACATGCCTGTCTATTATTTACTCCGCCTTCCAGTTCTTTCTGTGCCGTGTCGCCGATCTGCTGGGCTACAGCTTTGTAACTTCATCTTCAGCATTATCATTTGTCACCACAATTAGGATTTTTCTTTTTGGTCTGCTTCCGTTGTCTAAGTGGATTTTTTTTTTTTTGTTTTCCCCCCCGTGCTGTTTTGTGTTTGGTGTTTCTCGTGATCCACTCCAGACCGCAGTGGAAAACATCATGAAGGAGAAGATGCCCAAGAAAGGAGGGAGGTGGTGGTTCTCCTGGAGAGGCCGCAACAGCAAATCGGTACGTTCGCATTAGTCGTACTGCACTACAGTTTAATTTGTTCCGCTCTAGTAATGCAAAGCATTGTATCTCAAATCATCTTTCCCCATTGAAGTGAATTGAAATGCAATTAATCCTTTCTAGCCTCCCTCCCCCCAAAAAATTATAAAGTATTTTTTAGGAATACTGTATAGCACTCTGTAAGGTTGGACTCTCTCTCTCTCTCTCTCTCTCTCTCTCTCTCTCTCTCTCTCTCTCTCTCTCTTGCTCTCTTTCTCACTGCCTCTCGCTCTCTCTCTCTCTCTCTCTCTCTCTCTCTCTCTCTTTGTTTCTCTCCCTCTTATTTACATATAGAGAAAGATAGATAGATATAGTCATATACAATGTAAAGATTTACAAAATTTGTGCATCAAGATTAATTAACTCATTCAGTACCAGCCAATTCTGGACCAAGTCTGAAAAGATGTTTAAAAACGTCTTTGGGAGTGAATGAGTTTAGAAGACTTGCACAACTACTCTCAGGAGTAGTAGTAATTTTTCATAGGGGATCATCTCTTGTAGCATTTGGTCACATAAACGTCCGAGTGTCTCCCTTTTGCTAGGATTCCGTCTCGGAACGCGGGCCCTGCGGCTCGGCCGAAATTGGGTCGTTGTCTAGCCGGCAAAAAGAAGAGTCATCGTCCAGCGATGAAGATCACAGGGTGGCAAAACAGAGCTCAGCCAGCATTCAGTCGGAGGCCGGAATGACCGTGGGAGGCATGTCGTACAAGAAGACGCTCAGACTAACCTCGGAGCAGCTGGTGAGGATAAAACCATACCGTGTTTCCCACAAGATTACGATCCATCTTTAGCGACCTTTTTTAATTTTCAAGCAATCTTCTTTTCCTTTCTCAATGTTGTAGATTTGCCTCGCTTTTATTTTGAAGTTGCTCCCGGCAGCGCATGGTAGTGTCGCGAATGTAGTTGGGGCTGGTTCATATCATAAAACGTTGGATCGCTGCAGCCCTTAGTTGTGTCCCTTACACGTCCACGTTTGCGTGTCCTGTCAACGCAGGTGTCGCTGCAGCTGCAGGACGGCGCCAACGACGTGGTGTTCAGCGTGACCACTCAGTACCAGGGAACGTGTCGCTGCCAGGGAACCATCTACCTCTGGAACTGGGACGACAAGATCATCATTTCTGACATTGATGGAACCATCACAAGGTGTGTGTGTGTGTGTGTGTGTGTGTGTGTGTGTGTGTGTGTGTGTGTGTGTGTCCCGAGACCGATTTTTGAAGGTAAATCCATGTTGGATTCCAGGTCGGACACGCTGGGCCACATCCTGCCCACCTTGGGAAAAGACTGGACTCACCAGGGGATTGCACAGCTCTACCATAAAGTCAGCCAGTAAGCATTCTCACATTGATGCTCTGACATTTGGCACCGTATCATAAAAATTGCTGCTCTAACATTCCCTCTTGTCTGGTCCCGCATCAGGAATGGCTACAAACTCTTGTACTGTTCGGCCCGAGCTATCGGCATGGCGGACATGACGCGGGGATACCTGCACTGGGTCAACGAGAGGGGCACCATGCTCCCCATGGGGCCCGTCCTGCTCAGCCCCAGCAGCCTCTTTTCCGCTCTGCACAGGTCCGACGAGCACCTTGCATGTATTCACTAGTACAGGGGTCGGCAACCCAAAATGTTGAAAGAGCCATATAGGACAAAAAAAAACAAAAAACGAATCTGTCTGGAGCAGCAAAAAAAATAAAAGCCTTCTATAAAACTTACAATGAAGGAAACACATGCTGTATGTATGTAGGAGACTGGACTGTCTCAGAATTGTTTGTTATTCATTCCTTTGTTGTGTGTTCACAAACGCCCCCATAGAATTTATTTTGTAATTTCCTCGCTTGATTTTTTGTTTTGGTGCATTATTTTCGCTTTTCTTAGTGTCAGTGAAGTGATCATTAATTTCCGTTTTTCGGAGGCTGTCTTTGAACGCCTCTCGAGGCGAACGACAGAAGAGAAGGCAAAGTAGTCGGACGTAGACGTGTCTGTTTTTCGAGACTGTTAAAAACATAAATAAAGTGTACGTTTTAAAAAACCAACACCACAGCTCTCCTTTTTTTCGGAGCTGCAACATGTATCTATATCTATTTGAGCTATATTAGCCTACAATCAAAACCTTTTTCCACTTTCAAACATTTTTTATAAAGCTCCAGGGAGCCACTAGATGTCGCTAAAGAGCCACATGCGGCTCTGGAGCCGCGTATTGCCGACCCCCGCACTAGTAGGACATGTCAGTGTTACTAGTGTGACAAAACTGCGTGCTCCTCGTTCAAATAAACACTCAAACAAACAAATAAACAGCTTTCTGCATGTACGTACGTTGCCAGGGAAGTGATCGAGAAGAAGCCGGAGAAGTTCAAGGTGGAATGTCTGAGTGATATCAGGAACCTCTTCTATCCCAACACGCAACCTTTCTATGCAGCCTTTGGCAACAGGCCCACGGTAAATATACACACGATTGCGCTCATTGGGTGTAATTTAGACTCAATTTTAATGGAAATGTCGCAGATAAGATGGAGTCACTCCGGGAAGTGTACGTGTATAAATTCATTCACTTTCAAAGCAGAGTTCCTCATGTTTGTATCTTACAAGCGCCACAGGATATATCATTCTGTCGTAATTCAAGCACTGGACCTACGAAAAGAATCCGAGGATCAAAATTTCCCCTCTAAACTCAGAACAGTACGCCAGTGTCTTAAAATGGATTGCATCTTATGAACCTTTGGTCTTCATTTGGATTGACAGGATGTGTTTTCCTACAAAGAAGTTGGGGTGCCACTGAACAGGATTTTCACGGTGAACCCCAAAGGGGAGCTGGTGCAGGAGCACGCCAAGACCAACATCTCATCGTGGGTCTGCTTTCCATCTGGCAAATCCTGATTATTTTTTCAAATAAGTATTAATGTGACTGTGTTGTCCCCTTGCAGGTACGTGCGCCTCGGGGAGGTGGTGGATCACGTTTTCCCACTCAAGATGCGAGCCTCATCCTCGGACTTCCCCTGCTCTGACACCTACAGCAACTTCACCTACTGGAGGGAGCAGCACCCCCTGGTGGAACGGCAGGGAACCACACCCCCCTGCACTCCCATCCTCAGCAGCTGACCCGTAGTAGTAGTGGTGGTGGTCACACAGAATACACCAAATGGTACCTTCTTGGACTTTTTTAGCAAGCACAATGCATTGAAATGCACTTTGTGACTGAATAATTTATTCAAGGCAGCTTATTGATTTGAAGTGAGCCTTTATTTTTAGTCGAGGAGCTAAACTTGGTGCCAAATATGTACCTTTATTTTCTTACTCACATGCACGCACATTAGTAGTTATTTGTACATTATAGAACAGTCCATCCCTTTTCTATAGTGCCTACTATTAGGATTTGCCAAAAAGCTGGAGTCTATTCTAGCTAACTTTGGGCAGGGAAAGCAGGCTACACCCTGGTTACCAGTCCATCACAGGGCATATACTGCAAAGACAATTCAATTCCATTTATCATGTCTTACTAATGAATTTTTTTTCACTCCTGTAAGACCTTTCTGCACGACGACATGTGGCAAGACGACTGCTGCACATGTCGGGGCTAGTAGTCTGGTCCAGGAGATTGCTGGTGTGTCAGGCATGCATACAATTTAGTCTCAGCAACAGTGGTTTTCCTTGTAAGGTTTTCCTTGTAAGGTGTAATTGCATACTAGTATGCCAAAAGTGGCGCTAGTATTAACAAAATGTTAAGTGTAAAAAGAAAAAAAATATATATAAAAAGCAGGCGGCACGGTGGGCGACTGGTTAGCACGTCTGCCTCACAGTGCAGAGGTGCAAGGTTCGATTCTGGCTCCGGGCTTCCTGTGTGGAGTCTGTATGTTCTCCCCATGCCTGCGTAGGTTTTATCCAGGCACTCCGCTGGCTAAAATTGACATTTAAATCAACATTGACACCAGATATGTAAATTAGCCATAATGTGATGTCACAAGTGGGAGACATTCACAAGAAGAGTGGAGTTAAGTTCATTTCATACTTGACCCAACTAGTGGACCTCACAAAAGTGTGCACACTCCTCAATTTTCTGTAACTGTTTTATGATACCTTTATTTATAGGGATAGCATTGAAGAAATGACATTTTGCGACAATGTTGAGTAGTCAATGTGCAGTGACTGCATATAATTAATTACTTTCCCCTTATAATAACTTACCACAGCCAATACTGTCTTAACTACTGGTAAGAAAATTGAGTACAGCTTTAGGTGAAAATGCCCAAATTGGGCCTAATTAACCATTTTCCCCCTCATGTGACTCTTTAGTGTTTCAAGAGTTCAAATGTTACTCAATAGAATTTTTTTTGGCTGACTAATATCAGGATAATGTGAAGCACAACAGCTTGTTTTTGGTCACGTGTTGGAAAAATTTGAGAATGTATTGTGCATAGAAAGCAAGTTCTTAAAAATATGAACATCTTTGTCATTTCTTTGGTATCCAATGCATTTTACTGCACAAATATTTTATTATTTTCATTTTAATGCATCTATTCTTCACCCGGGGTTTAAATGATATGTCAAAATTAATTTGCCTGTAATTGCTATCAAATATCATGTGAAAGAAGTTACAAAGGGAATTTGACAGTATTTCTTATGATGGACTTCAGGTATGCTTAGTGACAAACCAACTGTTTATCAGATTATCGTATCACCTATAATCGCAGATGATGTGTATGTATATACAGTACTTTAATATGCTTCAAAATATTCATTATTCTTTCTATGAAAGAGCTTGAAATATGTCAAAAAAACCATACATACATTGTGTAAACTGCCCTACCCTCACTGTTTAAAAGTTAAACAAAGTCAAATAAATGACGTTGGTTACTTGGAGCAGGAGCGTATTAAGTGTATTTATTCAGATAAAGCTAACACATACAGTAATTGGAAGTTCCATTGACGGGCTTCTGTGTCGTGTTGTTATTAGCCTTACAGATATTTGCACAGAAAAAGTAAAGACTAAAAATACAGCAACGCTCACGGGTTTTTATTTTATTACCTTTTATTTGTATTCATTACTTCTGACGAGTTGTGACGTCTCTTGCGCCTCAGTGCACCTGTACAGTATATCCATGTTGTATAATTCTTATACTGCCCCCAGGTGGCTACGGCGTGTACAGCAGAAGGAGCACCACGTTGATCACTAAATGAGGCAAATTGACAATAACGGTTTACTGTATTTACATTTTATTTAATTATGTCACTATTATGCATAATTTTAGTAATATTTTGGAGTGGTATTTTTCAATGAAACATTTCAATGGGGAATAAAATTACAGTATTTGGGACCCGATTTCGAGTTACGAGGGTGGTCACGGAAAAATACGATCTGAAATACAAACAATAATAATACGCGGAGATAAATAAATACCAATCATAAGACTTAATTAATGAGTCTATGAAAACATCCAAAGATTTTGTTGTTGTTGTTGGGGGTGGGGTAGGAGACTGTTTCACGAGGAACAACTGAAACCGAAAGTAAAAGCATACGACCCTCTTTCACATAATGCGGAAGGTCTGCTGGCATGTGTCACTGTTTTAGTTTTACCATTGCCCCCTTCGAGTGTTTGTGTGTATTTTCAATCGAGTTGAATATCATAACAAACAAAAGTCAGGCTTTGGTACCGGGACCGAGTTAGGTTCGGCGAGAGTCACTGGACGGCCACCAAGAGATGAAAAACACGGTAAGGAGAAGGCACGTTTGACGTTGCTACTGTTGCTGTCACGTTGCGTACTAGGCAGAAAGAGAGAACTGCTTCGTACGCAACGGAGCGAACAAGAATAGGTGGATCCCCGAAATAGCAGGCACTGACAAGGTCTTGTCTAACAAATAATATTTATTACAAACGAAAAAACACCGTCAAAAGGAAAACAGAAAACGCTGGTCAAAACGAGAACCAGGAAATAATGTAACGTGAGGAAAAGAAAGCGCTTGCAAAAAACGGCAAGGAAAAGATAAGACAATTTACTCGAAGAACTACGCGTTAAAGAGAATCCCACTGGGATGACGAAATAGTAGCGAATAGCAATAGAGTGCGAATACGAAATACGAGCATGTGCAATAGCAGTGGCACGGCAAGCAATACTCCGGCAATGAGTTGATAGCCGGAGTGCCTAGATATAGCAGGTGTAATCCAGAACAAATGCGCCACAGGTGTGCAGGCGGCAGAATGAATGCCTGCCACCTGCTGTCGAATACGGAACATGACAGTTGCTTGCTCAAACAGAATCAGGACCGAATCCACAAAGTAAATAAACTGCGGCTTCTGCCCTATATATACACACAATAAGCTGAAAAGGAATTAGTACTCTGTATATAATACAGAATAGCTCTTGTGATAACAGGTCAACTGATTTACCTGCTTGCCATTTTTCAGATTTATTTGGGCATTTGAAGACTTGACTCTTTGTCGATACTTTATGGTCACAAGCAAATCCATATGCAATAAATAGAAAGTAACAGTGATGTGGTGATTGTCAGGATTGGAAGTATGTGCCGCTCGGCCTTCAGGAGGATGGTAATGATGATGAAGAGAACATGGTGGACATATTGGAGGCAAGGAGGCAGAGCAGTGACATAAGCCATGCCCTGAGGACTTTCAGGCCACTTTCCTATAGAGGGGCAAAGCCCTTCTCCGCCGATCAACTCAACACAGCCGTGCTGGCCTCCCACAATGTACGCAGCGTAATTGTCGAGGTGAGCACGCACCCCAAATCAACACAGAAACATTCGAACCCCTTAAAAAAATGCCACAGTTTTGTTAAATTAAAGAAACCAATGTGGGATTTACGTTTCCAATCCTGCGTGTTCCCCAGGTTGCCATGGAGACGGGGTCACCCCCGGAAGCAGTGAGAGCGCAGGCGGCTGCCATTTTGGAGGAGATGTCCCAAAAGCTGCAGCTTGGATTCGTGCGTTTGATGGGCTTCATGCTCAGCAAAGTCCTCAAGCGCATCTACTCCCACATCTACGTCAACATGGACGCGCTCCACACGGTCGCTACATTTGACGCAGATTTACAAATTGCAAATTCATTTTCATTTCACATTTTCTTTTGAAACATTTTGCAACTTGTAGCTTCAGCAGGTGGTATCGGACGCGCCTGTCATCCTGCTGCCCAACCACAGGAGTTATACCGACTTTTTAGTCATCTCCTACATTATGTTTACCTACGACATCCCGCTACCTGTCATTGCTTCTGGACTGGGTAAGTAAGTACTTGTCTTACGATAGCCCAAATGTACAAGTTTTTCCAAGCAATGGACCGTCACATGGTCAATTTTTTTGCTTTGTGATGAGAGCCCAACGTAAATACCACACCACATTCAATAACAGTGCTCAACAACATTTTTAATCAAAGATGCAAGTACATTTTTTATTAATGTATTTTTTGCGCTGATTCAGAATCTGTCGTTTTTCGCCAGTACATCAGCTTTTCCTAATAATAATGAAAACATGATAACAATAATATATATTAAAGTAATGTATTTAGTAATATTGATGAATGATGGGTTAGGGTTAGCAACAGGTGAATTTTTTTCTGCACCGTCGTAGCTCTAAATGGCCACGTATGGTGAAGTCTGTATTGCGCAAGCTTTTATCCGTCATGGAAAAAAAAAGGAAATACCCCAAAAATCGAATGTACTAGAAAAAAAGTAATGGCAAACCTAATGCTCTTCATGGAAAACAGCCACTGCGATATAAACATCCGAATAGAGACTGATCATTGCTGTTTTTTTTGCCTACTGGCATGTGAAGCTCTGGCAGGGATGAAGTTCATGGGCGAGATGCTGCGTCGCTGCGGCGCCTTCTACATCCGACGCGACATCGCCTCCAACAGGCTGTACTGTGAAGTGCTGTCAGAATATGTGAAAACCCTTGTCAGGGTAGGACATGTTTCTGTTATAACCAGTGAGTGTGTGGAAAATCTACTCAATTTAATTCATGTGTTTTCCATAGACAGGATTCGCGCCGGTGGAATTTTACATCGAAGGCTTCCGGAGTCGTTCACTCAAATCCTTGACACCCAAGTTAGGTGAGTGATGTCAAATCAATGTTGCGCAATGAGATCATAAGTGTGTGTGTGTGTGTGTGTGTGTGTGTGTGTGTGTGTGTGTGTGTGTGTGTGTGTGTGTGTGTGTGTGATGGCGCAGGTATGTTGCAGATGGTGCTGGATCCCTACTTTAAAGGCGAGATTGACGACGTCATCTTGGTTCCGATCAGCTTGAGCTACGACCGACTTCTCGAAGAATCTCTGCTCGCCCGCGAGCTCCTGGGTATCCCCAAGCCCAAAGAGAGCACCATGGTCTGTCACGTTCATCGGGTTCTCTTAGGCGCCGCTCATATGCGGTCCGTCACGAGAAAGTAACCTGAGGTCATGCTCTCGTTCCGCAGGGTCTGCTGAAGGCCGCCAGGGTCCTACGTGAGGATTACGGCTGCATGTATGTCAATTTTGGTCGGCCCATGTCAGCCAGACAACTTTGTCAAGGGAAGATCGAGCCGCTCATATCCATGTGAGTCATGCTGACATTTCACAATAGCGTATTTTCCACACTAAAGGTGCACTGGATTATGAGGCGCACCTTCAATAAATAGCCTATTTTGTCATTTTTTTCATACATTGGGTGCACTGCATTATGAGACGCAATCTACAAAGCATCCACTAGATGGAGCGACGCTCAAGGAAACGCCAACAGAACGATCAGATGTTAGTAAAACTTATTTAATAAAGCAGCAACACAGTTCACTTAACCAACAGCAAGTTATAAAATTGACTCGTTAACGTTGAACTCTTTTGCCGCTGCTCTATTTCCGTGTTCAGCTGCGTAACCGATCGCCTTAAGTTTGAACTCTGCGTTGTCAGCATGTCTCGAGCAAGGAGCCATTTTGGGGGTCGAAATATTACCGTAATGACCATACACAAGGCTCATCGGATTTTAAGGCGCGCTGTGGGCTGTTAAGAAAATGGAAGGCTTTTAGGTGCGACTTTTAGTGCAGAAAATACGGTACGAATGGTTTCAATGATTCACAAAGCTACAAAATCAAACGCAATAAGCACATTCATACACAGGCTGCCGATGGCCTTGACACACGCCGAGTAGTAATGAAACCCACAAAGTGGTTCACTTGTGTAAGTGGGACAGTACTCCACTTGATCCATAAGATAGACTGGTGGTGATTTATTTTTTGGTCACAATTTCTGTCCAATTTACGCATCTGATATAGTTTCAAATTAAGTATAGTGGAGTGATTATGACCTGAGTGTGTATGCAGTGGGGCAGGTGCCCTATGAGATCCAGTAGACCAGGGGTGTCAAACTCATTTTTTTGTCGTGGGGCCACTTTGGAGTTACGTCTTCCCTCGGAGGGCCATTACGACAGTGAAACTGATTCAATGTTTCATCATTACATCGTATCATTACTTGTACACAACAAATCAAATTGATGGATGACTAGTTTTGAAATCAGTCAACTGTTTGTTTGTTGTTTGTTCAATTATTGTCGTCCCCCCCCACCCCGAAACTATTGCAAAATCTCAATGTTATTTATTACATATGACAACTTGACGTTTCGGTCCAGATTTGAGCAAGGATCATGGAGGTTGACACACATAATTTGCTTTCACGGGCCACATAAAATGACATGGCGGGCCGGATCTGGCCCCCGGGCCTTGAGTTTGACACCTGTGCTGGGATTTAAAAAAAAAAAAAAAAAGCTAAATGGACAGACGGTATAGGCGCTTGTTTGTTTTGGTTATGCAGCATTGTTTTTGCGAATATTCTGTTACATATTTACATGCCGACTGTCACTCTTAGACATACGAGTTTGCAGTGATAGCTAGCTAGCTAGCTCATTAGCCAACACAAACTCTTCTCTGAATTGAACTTGATTCTCCTGGTGAGCCCTCACAAATAAGGTGGATAGCTTTCAGATACTTTATTCAGGAATGTTTGACACCCTATTTTGATAACAGATATCAATTATGTATTTTACACATATAGATGTGATTTTTAGTGACTCAAGCAAGATTTTGTTTGGGTCGTTTTTTTTTTTTCCTGCAAAGTAGTCATCCAGGAGATACGAGGATACAATTTTCCTTCTTTACATGTTCAATACTCACCATTTTCTCACTTGTCATGTTTCCACAGTGACGCTCTTGAGATGCCCTCAGAGGAGAAGCTGGATTGTTTGAACCGGTTGGCTCATCTGATAGTTCGAATCCAAGAACGGGGTTCCTTCAGCAGCCCGTGGTCCCTCATGGCTTGCCTTCTGCTGCAGTGGCCGCTCTCGGTCCTGACGCAAACGGGCCTGCCTTGGTCATGCCTCGTCGAGAGGACGCTGTGGTTGAAGCGGTTGGCGCTGAACTTTGGGGCGCGGCTCAACTGGCCTGGTGGGTCCAAATGAGAGATTGTAAATTTATTGTTCAAACTCTTCTTAATAACTAACACACGTGTTCCAATCAGCCAAACACTATCGCAGCTTATTGCCTGAACACACACACACACACACACACACACACACACACACACACACACACACACACACACACACACACACACACACACTGTGTTAGTGCCATTTTGTGGCATGAATTGAGAATTTGAAAATCTTTTTGGTGGTGGTGGGATATCAATCAGTAATCCTTGTATTCAAAATGTGAGACATACAAACTCCACGAAGGCAGGTTGGATTCAAAGCGTTAAACCTTAGAACTGTGAGGCGGACGTGCGAACCACTAGGGGGCCGTGCTGTACAATGTTCATGTCTTAAAAAAACGAGGGTTGAGTTGTAGACACTTTGCAGCTTTGAGCGAGATCAGACAGATTAGGTGAATGGGAGTTGGCACAAGCATTCACACTCATTTACGGGGATGTTGTCTGGGATTACCGCACTGATCCCAAGAGGGACCTTCTCAAGCATCTCATGTCATCTCCCATCAGTTCAAAAGTGGGAGGTAACCAAGTACCTTTGTTACTTTTAAGTACATGACTCTGTACTTGGCGATTTATTTTTGGCTGACGTTTTCGTTGACTCTCTACATTTGAAAAGAGATCGGAACTTTCTTTACTCAAAACAGCCTCGTTCCTTTTTCCAACCTCATCCATGATGTTGCGTAAACGAAATTGAAGGCTCCGAGAATGATTTGTCGTCAACGGTGGTGTGTCCCATGACCACCGAAACAGTTTTGGTGCTCACATGTTTTTGGGTGTGTGTTTTAGGGATGAAAAAAAAAAGTGGAGTACAAGAATAGAAATGTCATGTATTACTTTTGTCACCTCTGGATTAGTTGTTGCCATATGTCACACACCAGAACATGTCCCCGATTTGGAGGTGATTTCGTCAGCCGTGGCTCTCCATTACCCCTCGGTTCGCCTCAAGGCACAACGTGTCTTCCTGGTCGTAGAGGAAGTGGAAGACGTGGCGGGCCGGCAGCCAATCAGCACAGAGGACAGCGTGGCCAAGATGGCGGCGTCCATGTTGATGATGGCGTCCTACCGCAACCAGTCAATTCACCTTTTTGTCCGGCCGGCCCTGCTGGCCACGGCCTTGAGTCTTTCTCGGAGCGGCCGGAGAGGTGAGCGCGCATATGGAAAGTAAATGGCTACTGGGTAACCATGGTAACATCAATTAAAACGATGCCCTGGTGTTATTGCAGATGAGGTCTACGCGTCCTTCTGCTTCCTCCAGGACATCTTCAGGAATGAATTCATCTTTGTTCCTGGTAAAGCTGACAAGGTAAACGGATCAGTCATCTGTTTTTTTTTTTTTTTTTTTTTTGTGGGGCGGTCCATAAAACTGGTAAGTATGCAATAATGCCGGGAAACCAAAGCGTCAGGGGCAGTGTCTGACGTCACCCCCCCAGAAATGTCCTTCTCTTCTCTTTCCATTCCAAGTTCATATTTAATACACAGGAGTGATTCTTGCAAGATCGAACCAAATCGAACGTCACCAAAAATCAAACAAACATGTCTTCCGATTGGGAAAATATGTCAACAACAACAACAACAAAAAAAAATTCTGTTACATTCACAAAGCTATTCATTTTCACCAATGTCTCCGTTACGTATTTACATTTAATACAGAGCAGTGACTCTTTCCGGCAATAATGAGACAGAACATCAAGAACAGCAACAAAAAAAACACTTGATCCAGCAAAATCTTCCTCAGTGATGTGTTGACTTACATATTCTATCGAGCAGCGATACATCCAGGGCCAGGCTAAAAACCAAATTTGAACGTCATTATAGAATCATATTTTTATTCGAGATGAGCTGCTTCATACTGGTCGCTTTAAGGTCAGTGCCCTACCAGCCCCCGTGAAAATGTACTTTAATTTCTATTTTACTCGAAAGAGAAGGCATTCTTATAGATATGAAACAAATTAACCAAAAAAAAACCCAAACAAACAAACAAGGACAAAATCTGAATTTCAGGATTTTGAGGAGGCGTGCTACCTCCTGAAGAAATGCGGCGCCCTCGACGTCACCGACTCACAGGAAGTGACGGCATGCGAGGGAGACGGCGCGGAGGTGTTGTCCTTCCTGCGCTCGCTTCTGAAGCCCTTCGTTGACTCGTACCTGGTACATTTCGCCTTCTGTGATTCTAACAGGGCGGTTTAATGTGAGGAAATGGGTTGGATGACTTTTGGTGGAGTCCACCCCGGCAACTCGCGCTTGGTTCTTTGATTGGTGCGTTTGCCGTCTAGGTCATGTTGAGGTTCTTCAGTGATCAGGACGCTCACGTCATCACGGAGCAAGACTTCCTGCCCGCTGTGAGGAATCTGGCAACCAAGCTCATCCTCTCAGGTAAGGAGCCCAATCGCTTTTTCATCCGCCGATATGGACTTTCTCTTGGGTCTCCGTCGGCAGGCCATCTCCACACCTACGAGACCCTCTCATCCGACGTCCAGAAGAACGTCCTGGCGGCCCTCAGGAGGCTGGCGGCTGTGACAAAGTTGAGGGCGTGAGTAATGAGATTAGCCGGGGAGAAAAAAAAACAAAAACCTGTTTGGCTTCTAAGCTCATTTTGTCTACAGCCTGCTTGACTGTTTTGTCTCGTTTGTCGTTTACAGGTCAGAGAAGGCGTACAGTGTGGATAAAGACGCCGTGAGGCAAATCGAAGGCACACTTTGTAAGAATGCTGAAACCATAATACAGTTCAAAGTTTGTGCCTCTCCTCTATTGACGGACTTAATACAAAGGTGGAGGTTGCGCACTTTCACTGTAGTACCACGTCGAGCTACAATATGAGGTGTGTTCCGGTTGTTTGGGGCAGAATGTTGAGAAGCTCGACCAAAAGTAGTGCAGACGTTGGGAACGGACACAGTGTGGGTGGTTGTACGTATGGTGAGCAGGGAGCAAAACAATTGGTTCGGGTCTCAGCAATGAAAATGGAAACAACCTGTGAAAATGACGTAGCTGTAGTTTGGACCGTATCTTCCGTGTTGACTGGAGTTGTGTTGATTGGTGCTTGGCTTGTAATCACACTCAAAGTGTTTTTCTTGTCCCTAGCTGGGCAAATCCGTCCCCAGAAGCTCCAGACTGAACCTGACGCAAGATTTTAGTCTCCACTGGAACGTGTCCAGCCTCGGCACCCAGAGCACATTTTGCACTCTGACCTTCACTTGAACCCTTCCTCCTTCTCCTTTTTTTGTTGTTCTTCATGTGCCACTTTCTTTTCAGGGTCTTCAAGAAGAGTTCTGGAGACACCAACCTTCGTGATTGTATTCAAACCAGTTAAACGAACTTTTTAAAGTACGTCTTTCGGATACGACATTAGATGTGTTAGGCTCACACAGAGAAGAAAAAAAAAGACATATTGTGAAATGACAAATAATTTGCAATGTCACCAGAATGAAGTTGCGATATCCAAAGTATAACGATATCATTTTTATTCTATGCAACAATTCATGATTTTATGACTGTTAATTAATTACATTTTTATGGCATGTATACAAGTAGGCCTAATGTCAAATATCAAAACAAATCAAATACGTGTTTTGAGACTTTTATTTTTTGAAACTTCTTTACATATCAATAAATGTAAAACAGGCATAACAAAATGCACCATGGACGAACCATTTTTTTTTCTTTGTTTTTTTACTTGGACGCCGTCGTCTCCTTCACTAGGAGTGAGCGAGAACCAGAGGGCAAAGTTCACAGTTCATCACTGCCGACTGACCGGCCCGCACTGCAGTTAAAAGGCCTCGTTGAGTGCCGGTTGGCCGAGCCACCCGACACTATTCTAGGTACACCCGCGCCGCTAAAATGTCGATATTATTTAGATCTTTTATTTAGCTTTGCGTCAAGATCCAAATACCACAAACAGTTTTAGTACTTCTGCCACCTCATTTGGGGAATTAATAGTCATAAAAGTTAGCAAAATTCAACATCGTCCAAGATGTACAGTGAACTCCAGTTTCTCAACGTCAAAGGGTGCGATCAAAGAGACCATAAATTATTGCAATGTTTGTGTCAAGTGAAAATGGATGCTACTACATCTAGCATGCTTCCTGTGCTTACACATCCCAACAGGATTGAGTCCTGAAAATACATCCGCTAAGAGCCTCTGGTATCTCACCGGAGTTTTTCCAAGATGTGACAATGAGGCACTCTGTGAGCACAGTGTTCCAGTCCAAAGACTAGCTGTCATGTTGGACCTTTTTCCACAACAGTGGAATATCCGACAAGAAAACTTTGGTGCCAAGGAGCTACGTAGAAGTGAGTTTGGGATTTTCATTTTGACTAAAGTAGTGCTTTGCTGCCATCTTGTGGCACCTATTGGCAATTATAAACCTTTTCAGGGGGGCATTAATTATTCGCAGCGGGGCTGTTTCTTCAACAGTTTCCCTAAATTTTGTGAGTGGCGTATAATTGAGCTCATAGGGTTTGATTCTTTTCGCAAAGGCGGCGCTTTTTCGAACAGCAGGTGTATCTCACTGAGTGTCGGGCAAGCAGGCACTACGTCCGTGCCAAGGATTATCTATACACGGGCGGCACGTCCACCTTGATCCGCAGGGCGCTGACGGGGTCCTGGCAAAAGACGGAGATGTACTCCAGCACTTTGGAGTTGAGCCTCTTCTCGCTTTCCTTGGCGCGGTGGCGCTCCTTGTCCCAGCGCTCGCGCTCGCCGTTCATCTGGGTGAAGAGGTTGAGCTGGATGGCGCGCAGCGTGGCAGCCAGCACGTAGGCGCCGCCCTGCAGCCCGTGGCACAGCGCTGCGCCCACGCTCAGCGCCGCCGCCATCAGGTTGGGCATTGTCTCGCACAGCACGCACGCGCCTTCCAGGATGTGGAGTGTGCAAGTGCGGCACGTTGGCGGCGAGCCATGCGGGGCCGGACCCTGGTGCTGGGCACCGGCCAGGAGGTGGCGGGCGCAGTCGCTGAAGTGGGCGGCGGCGCGGCGCAGGGGCAAAAGGGCCAGGTACAGGTGGCACGCCGCCTTGGTGAGGGCGTGGAAGAGCAGACGCAGCTCCAACACGGCGTTGCCTGGCCGACAAAACGAGAGATTAGGAAGTGGCCGGGTCAGATTGGAGTCTAATCTGATGCGGTGACTAATGTCACAGAGAATTAAAGTCTCATGAGAAGTCACCTGAGCACGCAAAGCACATCGTTTGAGTACAAACAACTCGAAAACAAAGAAAAGAACTACAATTAAGCATCTTGGGTGTCACATTGACTCGAAAAACAAGCCTGTGCAAATTAGACATTCAAAATTAACAATGAAGATCACTACCAGTACTGGGAAGCACTTTTAAGTATCTGTAACTTCTAACTTGATTTTTCTTATGATTTTTTTTTTAACTCTCTAGATTTGAAAACATCGATACTTTCTTCTTCCTTGTCAAAATAAGATGATTAGTTTTCCAACCCCCACAGATGACGTGATGTAAAAAACAGAAAAGATGGAAATAGAGGTTATGGCAAATCGGACATGAAATTTTGGTTGAATGATTAATTGGTTGATATTTTGAAAATTTTTAAGAGAGCATGTGAAGCAGGGACCCATATTAAGAGCTCCAAGGATGATTTGTTCCACAAATGTCCATCTAATCTAGAAAATCAGATGCAGGCAAGGCATATTTTTGGTGTCCGTATCATTAGCTAATTTGGCTTTTTTTAATTTTTTTTTTTTTTAAATTTACATTAACAAAGCTAATGGAACATTTTTTTTTGATGGCATAGGAGACAGAACCCAGGCTAGCTCACTTGTTACTTCTCAGTACAAACACTAAAAGATTTAATTACAGAGGGGAAGGTATTTTATGTGTTGTTTGTTTCATTTTCTGAAAGGGGCAAAAAATCATATTCACGTTTTACTATTATACCTATTTCAGAGTCTGTACTGTTTTAATTGATTAAAAGGAGTTGTCTAAATTCGTTTTTCTATTTTTTTTTCATATCAGTCTTTTTTGCCCCCAGGCACACTACAATAAAAAGGTACAAAATAACAATGCAAACATAAATATCAGTCTTCCGAGCCCAATATGACTGGTGTTTGCGCTACACCGGGATAGGGGGTGCTATCGGCCCATCAGGAATCTGTATAGCCCCAGTTAAGACCCTCCATAAATGATTTTCTCAGGCCTGTCATGTACCGGCCAAACCCCCCACCCCCCATTAGCACCTGAAGAGAAAAATCCTGGAGGTATATTGAAATATTACATTCTGCATACCAAGTCACTAAAATTACATGGCTTGCTTCATTTATGACTTAATAAATGTATTTATGCACATTATGAATGTTAAAGTCACAAGAGCAACATTTAATTTCGTATATCGTAACGCACATTTCAAACTAAACCAAAACCGAAAGCATGAAGTCAAGGTGCAAGTTTCAGTTCAAGCTAAGTAAACAAACAAAAAAAAAAAAAAACCAACATTACCTCTATGCGTCTTGAAATGAAACTATATTAAAATGTTCGTGGGAGAAGGTCCGCTTATTATTTTATTTGTTTTTTACACACATGAGCGACTTCTGTCCTCTTTACAACTTGTCACAGGGCAACGATAAACCCCATCAAATGGATTCAAAAATAAATGTGTCCTACCGTCTATAAAGCAGAAAATCCACAGGAGGACAATACACGCTGCTGAAGACGTGAACCAATCCATGTGACCCGCTTTTCGTCCCCGGCAGTAAAAAGCCAACAAAAATAGGCAACGAGAACGCACAATAGCGTTGACTTGTGATGACGACGACGTGGTCCTGACGCCTTTGACGTCCTCACATGATTAGACGGCTGATCGCGGGGCGTGTGCAGCGTGTGGACGACTCGGATGGACGGAGACACCTGCAGGACGCCCGAGGTGCCAAACGGCCGCATGAATTCGAGTTTGTCAAGCCTTTCGCTCAATCCACTGCGTCTTCTGGTCACACGAGCTTACTTTGTTTCATCTTTCTTTTCGGCTTTTAAACTTGAGGAGGAACGAGGTGGCTGTCAGTGATGTCATAACCACGCGTCACCGTAATTATTCGCTAATTGTAAGATTTTGATGTATTATTGAACAATTTTATATGACTAATCCGCAAGCTTTACTAACACAAAAATGAGGATTTTCAAATCCATTGCACATTTACAAATATTTGTTGTAGAATTTAATTTGAGAACAAATACTCCACAACCGACAACAAAAAAAAAGTATTGACACGCTGCAACACCTTGGTGATTTCTCGAGCCTCCCACCGTTCGCTCCTTATTTTGGTTTCTTTTGTGTTTGTTCTTGAATCAAACTTCTTGGTTCTCTGTATCAAACTTCCAATCAAGATCCTGACACCCCACTCCAAGAAAATTTAACTAATTTGTCATTTTCCCCATCCTTTAGGCATCTTCCGTTCATTTTAAAACCAGACAATGTGGATGCTGATCAGCTGAACTAAAATGCTGAGGAATTAAGCAGAGAGTCTTAAGTTTTAAAGAACATCAAACACTTTTTGTCACTTTTTTTAGTGTTAGGATAAACCTGACAGTACAAAAAAAGTAATCCTCTCTGGCCCTATTAATCACCTTGTCTGAGGAAGAATAATGCCACATCCACAATATTCCCTGGAATATTAAAATCTGGAGAAAAAAAGACCATTCCTCGTTTTAGCGTGCAATTTTTATTGAAAAATCTATGCTGTGCCTACCAATAAAAATACAAGTAGCAAGCGGCATGTAGCTCATTATAAAAAAAAAATGTCCATTTAGCGTTTTTTTCTGAGCATAATTTATCAAGTAACAGTAAAGTACATGTTTCATTAAAGCTATACTGTACTGACAAGTCCACTTCATCCGAAGTTACTCAAGTAAACGTAAATGCAGCGCATTACTACCCACTGCTGCCACAAATGTGTATTTTGTGCATGCATTAAATTAAAGGTATATTATAACGTGCATTAATTATACTTATTTCATGGCCACAGATGAGAATTTTGACCGTACCCGAGTACTCGCATGTGTAGCAGGGTAGCGTCAAAGCACAGTAAATAGGAGGAATAAAATATTTCTTTTTAAAAAGTGTTGTGTCTACTGAACTTGATGGACGAATCACATCACGTGTGGTTTGCAGTATTATATTTTTCTTGAAAACATAAGGCCAATTACAAAATAAATGCTTTTTTTAATGTGGTGCCTAAATGGTCAATTTCTAGAGTGACCTATTAATATATTTTTTTAAATCAGGTTTTAAGTGGAACGGGAGAAAGTGGACGTAGTTTCTAGCTTTAAAGTTTAGTTGAAAGACTTGAGCGGCCTCTGTCGCAAAGGTGTGACGTCAGGCAGTTGTCACGACTACAGGCCGTGTGCGCACTCACTCAAAACGACTGCACGAGAAAGGAAGGACGTCAAAGAAAAAGCGTTTCGGCAGATACTGTAGTTCAAAATGTACTGAAGCCTTAACTGTTGCTTTTTGGTTGGACTGTCGTTTTGGACTTGTAAACGCCTCGAAGTTTCGAAGGAGGTCTTAGACTCTTTCGCAATGCATCATGGGAGACGCGGCTTTGGAAGTGGCGGGAACTGTGTCGTCACGGCGGGCTTAGCAGGCTAGTAACGATGAATTTTCATTTTTTACGGCTTATTAGCCGAACCAATCTAACAATTTTATATCATTTAATACATAAAGTGATGTATTCCTATCCACACTGTACGACGTCTGTGAAGTTAAAGCGAAATAACAGACATTTGAAGCAGCACAAGCTGGTAATGATTTTGGAGCTAGCATTATCAACTAATTGTCAAAATCACACTTTGCTTTTACTCATGAAAGTATAACACCTCTTTGTAATTCTAATATACAGTGTGAACAAAAATTAGGTATCATATACAGATTAAAATATTCTTATTTTAAAAAGAACAAGGGGGAAGGGCATTTAAGTGTAAATGCGACGTATGGGATGTAGAAGGAAGGAGCTCACATCACACAAACTCAGCTTTGGACTTGAAACCTTAACACTTGCTTAAGAGACTAACACTGGCTTAAAAAAAAAAAAAGATTTGAAACATAACAGCAAACCCTAACCCGGCTTGAAACGATTATAACCTACTTTGAAACCCTTATCGTGTCTTGAAACCTAACTTTGAAACACTACCCCAAAAACACTAACCACAAACCCCAATTTGAAGCTTTATCCCTGACTAGTAGATCTTATTTAGTAACCCTAAACTTGGCTTGAAACCCTATTTTGTACCCCTAACCCATGGTTGATACATCTATAACGTGATGTAGAGTAGAAATAGCAAAAAGGTTTGTTTAAAATTGCAATATTGAATAGGGACATTTCAAGCACTCGCAAGATGAAACTGTTTTTAGTGGAAAGCTACTTTTGGTTCACCCTGTGTTTTCTTTTTAGACATGCGGCCAAAGAAGAGAAATGATGGTGTCCTCACCTACCACATACCGTTCAATATCAGACTTCTGGCCAGTGAGGTAGGTCAGTGACACTGTGGGTGCAGTGCCAATGTAGTCTAGTCATGTTTAAAGCACTACATGAACTGAACTAATGTCTTATTGCTCTATCGCATTGGTGGTTGCTTTAGAATTGTTTTTAGCATGATTATCTTCTGAATTAATTCTGTTTTAAAATATTTTTTAGGATGACAACTCATCCTAGTTAACACTATAGCGCTGCATTGTGTGGTCAGTGTAGTCCACTTGGCTGTCTTAGTCATCTGATCACTTCTCAAGCCCCTCCACCCCCTTCCATATGTTTTCTTGTTGTTTTTCTCCTTTGCCCAGTTGGAGATGGTTCGATTGAGGAACTGAACATTGTAAATGTGTTCACATTGCGCTTAGGCTCCAGAGTCCAAGTGTCCGCCGCCTGAGTTGAGACTTAGTGCGCCGGTGACAAAGATGAACTCTCGCTGGTGCATTAAACAGAATAAACGGGATGACGCCACGGAGGCGGCGCGTGGATACAGGCTGCGGCGAGGCACCCTCTCCTATACCTCCACCAGGCTACTGCAGGTAGTGCACAACGCCGCACTCCCTCGCTGAGATGAGATGCTTGAGCCTTACGTTTCTCTCTCAGGTGAAAATGGAGGCTGAAATTCAAGAGGCAAAAGAATTGATTCGACCCTTACTGGAAAAAGAACAAGTACGATTTCAAATGAAACTGAACATGTCAATTTTTTCTTTTTGAAAGAATGCATTGTATGTGCACCTACTCGTCTACACACAGTAGTTCGATTAATATTGCGTTTGTGGAAGATGATTAAATCAGATGAATTCTCAATTTTCATTCATCTCAGAGAGCCACCAATGTGTTGGGCAATGTCACACTATGCTGTCGACTGAAATTAAGATCACAACTGCTCTTGCATTTGTGTTGCTAACTTCACGTGACCCCCCACCCCCATAAGTCAAGGTACTGAGGAGCTAGCAAGCAAGATGTGTCTAACTTGTTGTCGCTGTGGAGGACTTGGAGACTTTCCTGAAGACGCAGGATGAAGGCAAGATGATGAAAAGGGAGGTGGTGCGTAAGTGGTTACACGAGGACTTCTGGGCTACGCTCCAAAAGAAGCTCGACCACCACATGGCCGTCTGCAACCCAGCTGAGATCAAAATGCGCCAGAACTTGTTCCAACAATTTCTCAATCACGGAAACGCAAAGGTCTGTTGACGTTTAGCCGACGCAAATTCTGAAATAAGCGTTTGGGCTCACTTTGCCTGTCGCATTCAGGGCTATGTGTTCTTGGATATTTGTGACCTGGACGCATACAATCCGTATCTCCACCACGGCAAAAAACCACACAATTGTAAGGTGAGTTGTACCTGTATTGCATTTGTTTAGTCGCAACATGCTTTTGTTTGTTTTATGTATCAGTCTGGATTTTTTTTTTTCTGAGGATGCTTTCCATCTAAAATTTCATGTGATGCACATAACAAACTGCTTTGAGTATACTGTATATTTTTAAATTTGAATATTCAGCCTTTCATTTTGTCTTATTCTTGTTGCCTTATATGTATATACAGTATACATATATATTTTTTAAGTGCATGTTTTTTAATCCTGCATAAAGTGTTGGATGTATGCAACACATTCTTTTTTTTTGTTTCTTGAATTATAATAAATGAGAGAAAAAAGTAGAATTTAAAGAAATGGCATGAATTGATTTTTACACATATAAATTGGTTAAATATACACAATAAAAATAAGAGACCAAAAATGTAAGAATTGCACGGTTTTAATGAGTTTAAATTAAAAGTAAGGCTTTGTCGCTGTACTTTATTTAATGGTTTACAACTATTTTGTATTCAGTTTGAATCAGGTGCTTTGGAGTGTTCATGTGATGCACATAACAAACTGCTTTGAGTATATAGTTTTAAATTTGAATGTTCAGCTATTTATTTTGTCTTATCCTTGTTACCTTATAATATGTATATAGAGTATACATATATTTTTTGAAATACATATTTTTTTAATGCTGCACAAAGTGTTGGATGTATGCAACACGTTTCTTTTCTTGAATAATAAATGAGTGAAAACAGTAGAATTAAAAAAAATGTCATGAATTGATTTTTACACATATAAATTGGTTAAATATACACAATACAAATAGAGACCAAAAATGTAAGAATTTATATATTTTTTAAGTGCATGTTTTTTAATCCTGCATAAAGTGTTGGATGTATGCAACACATTCTTTTTTTTTGTTTCTTGAATTATAATAAATGAGAGAAAAAAGTAGAATTTAAAGAAATGGCATGAATTGATTTTTACACATATAAATTGGTTAAATATACACAATAAAAATAAGAGACCAAAAATGTAAGAATTGCACGGTTTTAATGAGTTTAAATTAAAAGTAAGGCTTTGTCGCTGTACTTTATTTAATGGTTTACAACTATTTTGTATTCAGTTTGAATCAGGTGCTTTGGAGTGGGGAGGGATCTAAAGCAGGCAGGATGTGGCTCTTCAGGAACTGATAAAGACGCCTCATTGATAAATCTTGAATCTGAATTAAATTTGATTTTGAATCCCCCAAGTGAAAACAGTAGAATTAAAAAAAATGTCATGAATTGATTTTTACACATATAAATTGGTTAAATATACACAATACAAATAGAGACCAAAAATGTAAGAATTGCAATATTTTTGTTAGTTAAATTAAAAGTCAGGCTCTATAGCTGTACTTCATTTAATGGTTTACAACTACTTTGTATTCAGTTTGAATCAGGTGCTTTGGAGTAGGGAGGGATCTAAAGCAGGCAGGATGTGGCTCTTCAGGAACTGATAAAAACGCCTCATTGATAAATCTTGAATCTGAATTAAATTTGATTTTGAATCCCCCATTTTACATCTTCAGACTGCTCTTCATACCAGGTTGTCATTGAACATGTTTTGGATGTAGAACGTACATCCCATAAAGCTCCTTGATTTGTTGACATTCACCCAAGTGATTAAGCCTTGGCAATTAAAAGTCAGGCTCTATAGCTGTACTTCATTTAATGGTTTACAACTACTTTGTATTCAGTTTGAATCAGGTGCTTTGGAGTAGGGAGGGATCTAAAGCAGGCAGGATGTGGCTCTTCAGGAACTGATAAAAACGCCTCATTGATAAATCTTGAATCTGAATTCAATTTGATTTTGAATTTCCCTTTTTACATCTTCAGACTGCTCTTCATACCAGGTTGTCATTGAACATGTTTTGGATGTAGAATGTCTATTCCTCAAAGCTTCTTGATTTGTTGACGTTCACCTAAGTGATTAAGCCTTGGTGGAGGTCTGCAACTTGTTTAAAATGTGTGCCCTGCTCACAACATTCCCACACAGCTGAGGTTGGCCGAGCTGAAGGAGAAGGAATCATTCTACGAGAAGTTCAAGACGAGGAAGACTCGCTGTGAAGCAGGTGGCTCGTTTTAGCACTCAGCAGTCACACGTCACATGGCTTTATATAAATACCCAGTGGACAATATTTTATTTGAATGTATATGTCCATTTAGGGTGTCAGTACAAGTGGATCACTCCAAGCCGAGACCAAGATGGTGACTATGCGACACCTGCGATCGACTTATTTACTGAGCAGTCACCCGACAACAGCACCACGGACAACACGAGGTCGAGGTACTACTAATACACATGATCGGTATCTTACTCTTCACAAAGAAAAATATCATTACTAATTAAAGAGAAAATTATCGAAGGTCATTTGAGCCATATCTCTTCTTTTAGAAGTATGTATCAAACTCACATGGCTTTATATAAATACCCAGTGGACAATATTTTATTTGAATGTATATGTCCATTTAGGGTGTCAGTACAAGTGGATCACTCCAAGCCGAGACCAAGATGGTGACTATGCGACACCTGCGATCGACTTATTTACTGAGCAGTCACCCGACAACAGCACCACGGACAACACGAGGTCGAGGTACTACTAATATACATGATCGGTATCTTACTCTTCAGAAAGAAAAATATCATTACTAATTAAAGAGAACATTATCGAAGGTCATTTGAGCATATCTCTTCTTCTAGAAGTATGTATCAAAATGGTAGCTCTTTGCATTAATCATTACTCAAGATGTCGCTTTCAGTCTTCAGAGAGGTTGCTGTACCTCTGTACAATGTGAAGTGATAAGACGTCTATATAAATTTCAGTCTTCATGGCCCTCTGGGGAAAAACCATCACTATGCCCAAGACAGCAAAACTCTAAAATCTGTGAAAAATAAAATTAGATGAACATACCGTTAATAACTTATATGTAATGTGTTGCACAGCCTGGACATACCGTTCCATGTACGTGAGTCCTTCGCTCTGGACGGGACTTGCCATCACAGCGGCTGCTGGTTTTCCAGATGAGTAGCGCTTTTTTAAATTCATATCAATGAAGTCTGTTTTATTGACCCAATCACACACACACTGGCGGCGATAACAAAGCCCCAACAAAGAGGACTGTTGATATGTACAATGCACACAACTGTACAGCATGTCCAATTTATTCATTTAACATGTTGACTTTTTACACAACGTCTTTCTATGCTATCTGCATTGTGTACATGAGCTAACGCTACCCAACATGTCTGTACCAATAAAAGCATTACTTCAACAGGCACATCAATTATTACCCTTTGACATTGGCAAGATTTTATCTGTCAAGTCTTAATCGAACATCGTGAGGACAATCAGTTTGGATGATGGATGGATGGATGGAAGTCTGAACTCATTCACTCCCAAAGACGCATTTAGATGTCTTTTCAGTCACCACACATTTAATCCTAGCTCCTCATTTTATATTAACTGTACTTGAAAAGGGTCTGAAAATAGCTATTTTCAAAAGTGTCTGAAAATAGCCATTTTCAGACCCTTTTTTCAAGGGTGGCGTCTGAAAAGACATCTCAATACGTCTTTGGGAGTGAATGAGTTAATTGTGGATGGCGGTGTATATAAGGCGCAGAAAAAAAACTAGTGCGTTTCCGGTAACCCGACTGACCGAGAATTTCTACGTCGAAAAAAAACTTTACGGACGGCATTTTTTTCAAAAAACCCTCTCCATTTTTGTGTAGAGGGTTTACATCGGTGCAAACTCTCGCGATATTCACGTTGAGCGCATGCGTCGTTTGCCCTATCGTCTGTCAACAACATTGAATCATGGCGGTGGCCGCGATCTCCGACGACAGTTTAAACCGCCTTTTGTGTGTTACAGTCGCATGCTCGCACCGTAATGTTAAGAAAATCCATTGATGTATCGAAAAAATTCAGCAAACTATTTGATGAACGCCACGGGCCGAGTAAAAACCGAGGGCGGAGGAGGGCAGAGGAGGGCGGAGGAGTACGGCGGAGGCGGCGGTGTGCCCCAGTCCCCTGAGTCCGGAGCGGGGAGAAAACTAAATAGGTGGTGAGCGGGGGGTTCACTGTCTCCTTGTTTTACGTTTTATGGTTATTTTGTTTAAATTTTTGATGGAAAAGAAAAAAAAAACTTTGTCCGACCTACCGACCCTATGCTGAAATTTCATGTTACCGGAAACACACTCTCTTTTTTGTTTGGCCTAATATTGTAGCCTATAGGTACAAACGGGTTCACAGGTTTCGTTTATACTTGTGTTTTACAGTGTGCTGCCAATTTATATTCTCAAGGCAAGGCTGCTGGTATGTGAAGGCACTTGTGAATGCGTGGCTTGTGATATTACATTATATGACTTTGAAGTGTTATTAGTCATTTGGGTGGCGGCTCATAAAGCTGCAGGTCCAGCTTGACCCAGACTTCTCCAGTGGGGACTTCGTGGAGCAGCAGGCGACGACCAGCGACACCTTTGCTCTCCATTTCCTTCTTGATGGTCGCCACAGGAACTTCAGTACGGCCCAGGAAGTCTAGTGAAAGATGGAAGGGCAAAAAAAATTGACACCGTGGCATTATTACCTCTTGTCCAGCAGAGTGCGCTAAATGTTAATTACAGTTTGTGCTACAGTATAATCTCACTGGCTACGGACCTTTGCTCTCCATTTCCTTCTTGATGGTCGCCACGGGAACTTCAGTACGGCCCAGGAAGTCTAGTGAAAAAGATGGAAGGGCAAAAAAGTGACACCGTGGCATTATTACCTCTTGTCCAGCAGAGTGCGCTAAATGTTAATTACAGTTTGTGCTACAGTATAATCTCACTGGCTACGGCAATGCAGATGTACAAAGAAGATGGCTGTGATCAGAATAACTAAAATCAAGCAACGGTGCCCGACATAGTGAGTTTGCCATTTCTTGTGGCTGCTGCAATATCGTGAGTGTCGTGGCATTATTACCTCTTGTCCAGCAGAGTGCGCTATATGTTAATTACAGTTTGTCCTATAAACTCAGTGGCTACGCCAATGCAGATGTACAAAGAAGATGGCTGTGATCAGAATAACTATAAAATCAAGCAACGGTGCCCGACACAGTGAGTTTGCCATTTCTTGTGGCTGTTGCAATATCGCGAGTGTAGGACGTCCTTCCGGTAACCCGACTGAAGCATCTTGAAAAGTAGTAAACAACCACCGGTGACTAGGAAAACATTAAATCCAATGAAACTTTGCACTGACAGACTCAATTCTGGTGTCCACTGACCGTCCGGCGAAAACTGGTCCTTCTCAAAAATAGTGATGCACAAGACGTCCTGGTAGAGGTCTTTGATGAAGAACTGGCAGTTGAAGTTCCACTTGGGGTTCAGTGTGTTGCTTATGGGTCGTGACGTGTAGCACTGGGCCCCCATGGTCAGTTCGCAGTAAGGGTTGCTCTTGCCTGCAGGGGAGCGAGCGATCAGATGTGAGTGACAACATCAACACCCTTTAATGACTGTATTATTGTTACCGTTGGGCTTGCAAGCTTTGAGCTCTTGGGCTTCAGAGATGGTCACCAGTAGCCTTCCGATGCCGCTTGCCTTCAGAGAACGAGCTACGAAGCCATGAGTCACAAAACGACAACATGGACTTGTGAAAGGGACATCAAGAGACACGAAAGGACAAAATGAAGGCAAGTATGTCAAATTAGTGTTTGCACTGACCTTGATATGCCTTCTCCCGTTTTTTCTTCTCCGTCTCGATGAAAAGCTCAGACGCCACTTTGATTTTCTGCACCCACGCCGCCCTAGCAAAACAACATGTTAGGGCCGCAAATGACGATACAGACTCCGATACGATACCTCGGCATATTCTGATTTCCAGTAATACTCAACTACTGGAAATATTTTTTCTTCCCCCCTCCCCCAATTTTGCTGCTGTAGACTGCAAATTTCCCCAGTGTGGGACAAATAAAGGTTATCTTATATAATTTTATGCGTACATCTGGTTAGAAAGTAAAGCGCGGAGAGCCTCTGTCGCCTGACTAAATGCATCTCAGATGGACACAAACGGTCGGATTGGAAGGTGGTCTATGAAGGGCGCAAATGCCCGTTCCTAACTGCGCTTCTCTTCGAAAATACCAAAAGAAAGCAGACTATCCATGCGCACAATTAGACTGCACTTTGGACTAGCGTTGGGCATGAAAACAGCCTTTGGTGTGTGGCGGAGTCAACGATTGCCCTTTTTTTTTTTTTTGCAAACTGGTTCGGCCGTGCCGCTCGGAGTGCAGCGGGTCTCCATCAATAATTCTAAAACTGGCACTTTTTACTTTCATGTGATGTCCATTTCCAGCGTGTGTGCTCACCTTTCATTCAAGGTGTCAGTCTTGAGCGAGTAGACACGGTCGATGTGCGAGACGAGGAAGAGCGGCTCATCGCTAGACGGGTCCGGCGGCATCTTGACCAAAACCTCATTGAGGAACAGCGGCTGTTTACAAAATAAAGACAAAACAAGTGACGCAAATGACATCACGCAGGTGTGACTGCGCTCACTTACAGTCTTGTACATCTTGAGTTGGATGCCGCTCTTAGGGCTAAAAAGCTTGTCGGGCCCGGAGGAGGACAAGGATTTGGCGCCCTGGGTCAGGAGCAGGAAGTCGTTGAAGAGGAAGGCCCACAATTCCCGGCTGCTCTTGGCCTTGTGCAGACGGCCGCTGTGGAGCAGCTTGCGTGGTCCCAGGCAATTGGTGAGTGAGTTAAACACCAAGTGCTGCCAGTGACACAACCGTGACCATCGTCGCTTTTACTTGCAAAACCGTTTTTTGTTTAGGGTACAGAAATAATGTGAAAGAGGCTCCTCTCACTTCAATGGCGCCATCACACAGCACGTGGCTCTGGATCCACTCGAGGCGATCCGAGTTCTCCTTCTCCCTGACGCCCTCGTTGACTTGCGAGCACAGCTCCTCGGCTCGCTCCAGAGCTTCCCTCAGGGGCGATTGATCCGCATGGTGGTCGGGCGTGTGCTCGAGGATCTAAAGCGACGACATACAATACATTCAAGAAGGAGCAACAGGACGAAGGGATGAAACGTGCATCCTTATTTACGTTCTTGATGAGTAGAGGGTAGCGTGTGATTCTCTGCATGGGTTTGAGGAGGAAGCTGGACAGAGGCATTCCTTTGCAGCGGTAGTTCGTGGCGATCTTCTGCTCCAGGAAGAGGAGAGAGAGATGCTTAGTGTGTGAATGCTGAGAGATCTTACATCTCCGTCCAATAAAAAAAAAAAAAAGATTCTATTTTTTGCGTTTGTAGGATATTCAAAAATTGTTTTCACTTGTGAGCAACTACATGCTAATACAAGAGTACTACTCTAAACATGCTATTTGAAACCTTGATTTTAGTGACACTCCCCTCTTGTTTTATTCAATTCATGAATAAAAACGAAACAAATATATTTTTAAATTTGCCACTGAATGATATCACAGGGTTATGTTTGTCAAACTTGAGGATATTTGTGCGAGGAGAGTACTTTGAGGAAGTTCTTGAATTCGGGCTGATTGTTTGTTTTGCTCTGCAGCAGGGCGGCGGCGTTGAGCTGGCAAGAGCAGAAGCGGACGTAAGGCTGCATGTGCGTCAGCTCCGACGCCAGCAGATCGCCGATCAGCTGCACTGGCATGTTGTCACCGCCCATCTTCTTGCGCACACGCAGCGCCCTGCAAAGCGCGGAAACACATTGAAGCGACGAGGCATGCCCACGGAAGACATCTCAGTTGTTGACGTACGCACTTGAGCAGTTTTGTGTTGCACATGATGAGCTCTCTCCAGTTGACAAAAATGATGCCCATTTCCTCTTCCGTTAGTCGACCTGATTCTGACATAGGCTTGTAGAACACCTGACAAATACAACATTATTCTCAAAATTGGAAGAAAAAAAAAAATCAAATTCTTAAAAGCAGTTTGCTATTTAAAACTCATTTACTCCCAAAGACGTTTTTAAATGTCTTTTCAGACTTGGTCCAGAATTGGCTGGTACTGAATGAGTTAAATCAAATTTGAAAACATGGTATTTAAATGTTTTGGTCCACTTTTTATAGGGTTTTTATTTGATTACATAGGTAAGAATAATTCAAAGAAAAAATACATTTTCCCCCCCAGCTTAAAAATAAGGTTTAAATTTTTTTTGCATGTATAAAGTACAATAATCCCTAACAATCTTCAGACAATATGGTTTTAATAAATAATATTTACATAAAATTTTCGTTTTTTTAGGCCAATCTCAAAAATGAAAGATTTTAAAGGTTTTATATCGTTTAAATATTACACACCAACTTTTTATTATTTAGCCCAATTAAAAAAATAAAAGCATTTTACATATAATGGCTAAAACAAGATATTTAGCTTTTACAAACAAATGATTGCAACATTTGTTTTTGGCTTGTTTTTTTTTTTTTTTTTTTTTTTGGTAAATAGGATTCATTTTACAGTAATTATGTCATGCACACTAATTAATGTGTTTGTGTGTGCATGCAGACCTCCAACACCAGCTCCAGGTCATCCACGTACGTCTCCTCAGTGTGGATGACCTCGTGGATGTAACCTTGCCTCTTTCTTTCCCAGGGGCTCATCGTGTCCAGGGTCATCAGGTTTGCGCACCCTTTGAGACGTGCGCACACACACATGATAACACAACCCGTATTCAAACCTTCCTTTATTATCAGCTTTGTGAATCATGCCATTTACACGAGCAAGGCACATAGAGTGGCGGGCAAGTGAAAGCGAGCACCTTTCATGATTGCATAGGCCGGAATGGAGGGAAAGAGCACAGTGAAGACATGTTGGTTCTGCTGGTGATGTCACACAAGTGTAAAGTAAAAAAAAAAAAAGAAAATAAAAAAATCTGTCAAACTTGCATCAGGAAGCGTTTACGTTGGTCCATTTGAGTACGGCTGTTATGTTAAATGGAAGCCCACGTTATTCTACTCTCTTGTGGGCATTACTTAGAAAAGCAAAACCACAACATTAGGTAATCATGCTCAAAAAGGTGCCTTTAGAAAGACAATAATTCTTACTTCTGATTGACATGGAGGTAGTCATGTGACAGTACTGTATACTGCAGTGTTCCCAATACTGTGGCGTCATTTCACATTTACAGTGGGAATTTATTTATTTTTTTTTAAATAGCAAAACCAAATCATGCTTTGCATCATTGAGGGGGAAAAAAAAGTTTTTTATCGTATAAGTATCGTATAAGTATATTGATGTCCTTATTTTCCATATTTTGGCCGATTGATAGGCGTTTGGGTTTTTAGTCATCTGCCCCCAAAAATCCCATATCGGTCGGGTTGTAATGTTTTCCGCAATGCCAGGAGTTTAACATTCCTCAACCACTTCTCCCACCCTGGCGCGTTGAAAGCAATTGTACCTGTCCATCAATTTTTCAATCCGCTTGTGAATGCATTCCGGATGATCCGTTACTGCTCTGATGTGGTCATTTTATGGGATCTCTTTGTAAAAGAGGCTAAAGATGTTGTAATTCCTCCCAACAGATGCCATGCCTTGATTCTTCGCCAGGTGGCAATTTTCCGCTTTCAGAATCACAGCCATAACAGAGAGGAATGAGGGAGGTATTTATTTGAGGGGGGTGATCATTTTTTTTTGTCGCTGAAACTGTGCTGCATCTATTTGAGGAAATATGGAATCTGATTGCAGTATGCCATGTCATTAGCCCACCTTGAGTTGGGTTCTATGTAAAAGCTGATAAATACAACATATTCCTTTACGGCTACAGTACAGCAATTTTACAGGGTCTCGGTGTGAAAGTTAGTTCAAGAAAATGTGCGGGAGGTGAAAGAGGCAAAAGTCCTCTAAAAAAAACAAAAAAAAAACAGGCGAGGCTGGTTCTGTTTCTGCAGGTGGCTGGGATTCCGGGTTGCGGGGCGGTGAGGAAGAAGGAGGAGAAGGAAGAGGAAGGGGTGAAAGGAGGAGGAGAAGGAGGAGAAAAGCCCACATTGTTTGTCCTAGAGAGGAAACAAAGGAGAGATGACGCAGGAGGAGGGGAAGGTGAGTGAGATGAGACAGAGAGCAGAGACATTAATATAGTTGGAATATTAATGTGGGGCTCTGGCATGCACGTGCGCCTGTATTAATCATGTCGATGTCAGTGTTACATGGCCGCTAATTACCTCGGGTGGAGCGCCGCACATTTGTTCAGCGATGTTAATTAAACACACGTTCGCGCTTGTTAACACGGCCACGAGGCGCGTGTGTTAAATAAATGAACCTTCTAGTAAATGTTTGGATTCCATTTGACAAACAAAAATGTTCAGAGCAGTCAATGGATTAAATATGAGAAAATATAGCAGAAAAGTATAGAAATATATTTCCTTGAATGTATATCGGATGTATACCGTAATAGCTGTATGTAAAATAGCAAAACCATTCCTATTAAGATAACCTAGCTGTTATGTTACGCTTCCCCAAAAAGTTAATAATTGGGTGGTCCAGCATATTAACTCATTGAATCCCAGCCATTTTCACTGGAGCAACCCCCTCAATCCCAACGTTTTACTGGATTTTGACAGATCTTGCAAGGCCCACAGAATATTTGGTTCTAATGCTATATAAACATGGAGCCTACCAAAATAAAGTTTGGAGTCTCTTCTTTCAGAAGAAAAACCTTTTTGTTTCTATCTCTGTCCATTCTTCAGCAATTGGCATTACAAAATGGCTAAGTTTCATGAGGATGGCGATTCCTGGGCAAAAAACGGAGAAAAAGAGCTTTTTGTAAAAGCATGCATTTCAAGCACGTGAGGCACCACTGCCACCTCCTGGTCGCTTTTTTACATGATTTACAATGCAAACGGCTTATTGTCATTCACAGATTGTATCAGACCATCCTCCTCTCTATGACGCAAAAAAAAAAAAGACTTGGACGTACAAGTACGTCCTTGGTAGGCGGGGCCTAATTTTAAAAAGGCGTACAAGTACGTCTTGTGGAATGAAAGAGTTAAGAATTGTGTGAACCCGATTTTTTTCTCAACATCTCGACTCATGAAAAAGCCTTAAAAATATCTCCTCGCAATGAAACCAATGACATGTGGTGGCCGACCATGTTAGCTGTTTGGGTATTTCTGGGTCAGACGTGGAGGAAGGCTACAGATTACCGTGAAGTCACCCACACACCATGATAATAGGCTCAAACATGTTAGTTGATTACAAGAATGAAGATCAATTTCATTTTGGTTTTATAGAACAAGATGAGATAGCGATGTAGTCTAAGATGAATTACCTATCCATAATTCTGATAATCAGATGCGTTTGTTAACACAATATTTTACCAGCAGGGCGTTCTCGCTCATGTGATGACTTTCAGTGCTATTTTTAAAGTCTGTAAGAGGTCTTTGGTGTACTCACATTGCTGACTGGGGTCGGACTCGGTGGTCATCTTGACGTAATTGGTGGGCAATAGGCCCGTAACACCGTCGGCCTCCCCTTTCCACCAATCCGGGTTGGTCTTGTCTAAGACGTTGATGAGCTGGCCTTTGGAGAAACTCAGCTCGTCAGGATTGGCCGCCGTGTAGTCGTACATGGCAATGACTTGGCACACTGCATAGACACGGAAAGCCCTTTGAGTGGTCATTTCATATGCGTAATGTCCGTGTACTTCAGTTATGCGAGAGCTCACTTTAGTTTCGGTCTACTACTAAAATGGATGATTAAGAAATGGATTGTGACCTGGCATAGGTGACGGGGACGACTTGTTGCTGGAAGGTCCGAGCAGCTTGACGTGGGAGGAGTGAATCCAGCCTCTCTGACGCTTCTTGCCACGAGCCTGCGCAAAGAAACAACGGAAACATCATTTACTTGGATTGGTAAAAAAAAATATTCATCTGGTAATAAAAGGAAGCAGTTAATTTGAAATCTGTTTTTTTTTCTTGCCCAAACATTAACTATAGTCATACAGTGAAACTCCTCTACAACGAAACCTACATGGGCGAAAATACCCCATTCCCACTTTCCTGCCCCCCATACAATGAAAAAACCCCCTGTTGTGTTGTACGAAATTTTTTTCTCTGCTCTTGCCTCTCGACGAGATTCACTCCAACGAAGTCTAATCCAACAGCGACCTCTACTGCTTTGTTCGGAAACGGCAACAGCAACCACCACACTGGTTTACACATGCGCAGTAGTCCAGGAAGTATTTGTTGTTGTTAGTTTCAGACGCAGCAAGAACATTATTGTTAGATTTAGACGAGGGTGGACGTTGCATTGCTAAAATGGCTACAAAACAGACATTTGGATGTCAAGCAGCGAAGACAAAAAGAGCTCTGACGCTGGAAGAGAGGGTAAAAGTGATCAAAATGAAAGACGGAGGAAGCAAAATAAAGACATTATCCAAGAAATTGATGTAAGTGAAAGTGAATGCTGATCGTAAATTTCGCAATTTCTTTCCCTTTTTTTCTTTCTACACTGACTATATGAAGTGTCAAATAAGTCTATGCTCATACTTATGCACTATTGGAATAAAAATAAAGAGTACACATACGTTTGTGTATGCGTGTACGTGTGTGTGTGTGTGTGTGTGTGTGTGTGTGTGTGCGTGTGTTTACATCTGAGATCAAATTTGCTAGAGTGAAAAACCCCCTGTTGTGAAAAATTTCTTGCTGCAAACATGATTTCGTTGTAGAGGAGTTTCACTGTAGATAAAAGTCTGTGAGTGTTTATGTAATTGTATATTGTACTTGTCAAGTTAGTACCATGCCTGGTGATTAATTGGGCCCTGGTTTGTAATAGAGTGGAGGCCATTATTGAAGGAACTGGTACATTTATCAAATTCGAATTGTTGGGTTGACATGAACTTAACGCAGTAAATCAAAATGCTGGTTGCGTTCACACCAACCTGCAGTTCCCCCAGCCACCAGCCAGTAGAGTTCTTGGCCAGGACCACAATGAGTTGTCCAGGAGACAGATGCAGCTGATATATCGTCGGGGCAACGGCAGCGGAGGAAGTGACGGCCTGGGCAATTTCTGCTGACCAATCAGAGAAGAGCATGATGAAATTCAGATCCGTGTGAGTAATTTGAGTTTTGTATTCTCACCAGGTTTCTTGGTTGGCCCACCAGGTCTTGACACCTACAAGAGATAAAGTGACAAGCAGCTGAATGGCAATATATCGTCTCTATTGCAATACTTCCACATGAACTCAAGTTACCTCTGGCTCCACAGGCCTCACGTAGTTGGACGGGAAAACGCCGGATTGCTCGCCGATGCACCCTCGCCACCACTCCCCTTCCCGCTCTGTCACCACCACCACGTCGCCTTCCTCAAAGGTGAGGTCGCCCGCTTCAGGGCTCTCGTACGTGTACAGCGCCACATATTCTTTGTTTTGGGCAACAACGCAAGGAGGCGTTAAGTCAGACGGGACGGCAAAGCTTTGAGGGTTTGGCTTACCTTCAAGTTGAACACCGTCGCTTCCATCCAGTGGGTCCGTGCTTTAACAACAGTGACACATCGTTAACTCAACTGTTGGTCGTCATAGAGAAACGTGTGTGTGTGTGTGTGTGTGTGTGTGTGTGTGTGTGTGTCTCCATACTCTGCGCTCATTTCACCCTCACTGGACGAGAGGTTGAGGTTTATTTGGGAGGAGGTAGTGGCGCTGGTGGTGGGCGACCGGCGGGACATGATCTGAGTCAGGACAGGAGCTGGAAACTGAGTGGTTTTGCAATGGAATGACATGAAAGACCTCTATGAAGGACTTTTTGTTTTCTCCCCAAATCATCCCCCTTCATTTCTTGACATACATACTTTGAATACCCTAATTAAAAATGATTCATGTGTTCTGCATACTTGGCCAATAAAAATGATTCTAATTGTGATAAGAATATAACTAATTGCACTCAATGCACTGCTACAAACAGACTCCGCAAACCCATAGCATTCAAAAATAGAAATATTTTCAGGCCTTTTTTTTTTCCTCTGAAGTTTTATTTATTTAAGTTTTTAGCATTGTACAAATGGGCCAAACCAAATACACGTTCAACAATTTACCTGTGATGTTTCTGATTGATGGGGAAGAGCGCCCTTGTCACCTGTTAGTTCGCCATCTGGGACCCTTGAGTGAAAAGACGAGAAAACATCATTTAAAAAGTGCTGTCGCGTCCACACTTTGCGTTCGGTGATGTAGCGTAAGATTTTTGGTCTTGTCCCAACTGAGATTACCCGGAGACGGGAAGCAGCTGCGGACAGAAAGTCGGTCCATGCGACGAGGGGCCGGCCTCGGTGCATTTCTCAGCGTAACTGTGAGGGAACCAGCCCTTGTTTCCACGGTAACTCCCGCACAACCAACCCGGCTCGCCCACTGTCTGCTCGTCCACCTGTAGGCGCTCGTTTCATCACAATCGTCTGCGTGCGCGAGCAAATAAACAAACCTCGATGAGGCAGTCTGCGTCGATGCTCAGCTCATCCTTGTTGCGTGCTGCGAAGGAGTACAGCGCTTTGTAAAGCGTCACTCTGGAGGCCGCCTGCGCCTCCTCTTGTGCTTTCTTCCTTTTCTCCTCCTCCCTCTTTTTTCTCTCCTCTTCCTCCCACTGACGCGCCTCCTCCCTCGCTATCCTCTCCTGCTCCAGCTTTGCCCACCTGTGTCCAAAAAAAAACAAAATCTGAATTACTGGCCAAATATGTAAAACACACATGGAATTCCTAGTTACAACCCATCCAGAGGACCATAAACAAAACAATGACCAACAGAGCGGGAAGCCCACAAATTACTTTCAGATGCGGTACACCCGTTTATACTGAAAGCTGCATCGACTAAAATCAAGGGTGCCCAAACTTTTTTGACCGAAGGTCTACTTTTCAAGCGAGCCAACCTGCGTGATCGACCACACGTGGACGCATAAACACACACGCACGTGCACCAATGCACATACGCACGCACGCACAGACAATACAACAATACGTGCTGGCATAGATTCTTTATCCTCAGTGAAATATGACTGCAGTAGTGCAGTAGCCTACTTCCCAAAGTCCTCTACCTGGCTTCCTCTTCCTCTTTCCGCCGCCTCTCCTGCTCTTCTTCCTCTTTCCGCCGTCTCTCCCGCTCCTCCTCCTCTTTCCGCCGCCTCTCCCGCTCCTCTTCCTCTTTCCGCCACCTCTCCCGCTCCTCTTCCTCTTTCCGCCGTCTCTCCCGCTGCTCCTCTTCTTCCCTCCTGCGTCTTTCCTCTTCCTCCATCCTCCTCCGCTGCTCCTCTTCCTCTTCTCTGCGTCTCTTCAGCTCCCGCAGTTTTTCCTCCTTGACTCGCCGCAAGTCGTCCAGGACGGACTGCTGCTTGGCCTGCTTCTCCCTCAATTCCTGACAGGGGGCGCACATTGCAAACAGATGTCACCGGACTAGGCTGCTCGTTACATGTGATCAGATACATACAAATAATCATAATAATGTCTTGTTGAAGCAGCATGGGTGGGCATCGGTCACGCGGCGGATTTTACTTTATATACAGATACTTACCATCCACAATATCATGAAGGGTGGAGCCAAAAAAAAAAAACATCTCAAACACAAACAAAGCAAGAGAACCTTGAAGAGAAGGAAGAGTTGGCTGAGACAGGCCAGCAGAGACAGAAGTGCACGCAGGAGACAGTCATCCATGTCCTCAAGCTGAGCACATGCAAAAGGGAGTGGGACAGATGATGAGAATGATGAGAGTATAAAAAAAAAAAGTGACGAATAAAGGTATCCGGGAAGCAGGGTTAAGAAGGAAAAGGGAGAGAAAGGAGTTAAAATGCAGTTCCAAGCAGGGCAGTGCAAGAAATCACACACAACAGAAAATAAATAGTTTGTGATAACATAATTTTTAAAAAATCACAAGTTTTATGTGTAGTGTAACAAGATGTATTTTTTTTTAATGAAACAAATGCAGTAAAAGATCAAAGAAGGGAATTAAGTAAAGTGAGATTTCTCTTCCATACGTTTTGATTTTTCAAACTTGCTTTTTCAGCACAATTTGCAGAAATCATCCTCAATTCAATTCTGATGTCATGTCTGTCATTCCATGCCTCTTCAGAAGCAAAAGTATGTAACAAAGCTAATCTTGCCTGTCCATATTGACTTCTTGCAAGTCATTAACCAAATATGTCACTTTTGATGATCATCAATGGTATTTGTATCAATTCATACTCCATCCAGGCTCACAGGTGCTGCATGTAATTTCAGCGCCCTTCCACTTTACTAATATGTCTAGCACTGACCTGGAGTTCTTTGTTGTGCTGTTCCATCTGTGCGAGCTTGTCTGCGGTTTCCTTCTGCAGGGCGTCCAGCTGGTCCTTCAGCTTGCGACAGTTGACGCCTTTGTTGCTCACGTTGGCGGCCAGGGAGGCCAACGTCACCGCTGCAAGATCCACCACCCAAGTCCAACAATTGACTTCTTTCATCCGTCGAAATCCACATGTGATAGACAAGGTTTGGGGCTTTTGGGGAGGGGAGTGGGGGGTGGACATACGTAAGATTTTGTTGAGGTTCATGTGACGCAACTTCTCAGTCAGCTTCTGTTGTTCAGGAACCAGCAAGGAGAACTTCTTCTGCCAGTCCTAGAGCAAGTACATGCAAAAAGTGAGTCGAGGTTATCTACATACTTAGTGATATGTCCCGGACATTAAATACTGGTTTCAATTTAAACTGTAATGAGTGTGTGTGTGTGTGTGTGTGTGTGTTTGTGTGTGTGTGTGTGTGTGTGTGTGTGTGTGTGTGTGTGTGTGTGTGTGTGTGTGTGTTGAAAAGGTTTAATAAAAAAAGTCACAAAAATAAAAGTCAAAAAATGGACAATATCTTGAAAAACAAATCTTGACATTTGAATTTATTTTTAAGTTATTATAATAATAATCATGATTCTAAGAATAATATTGATAACTGGAATAAGTTCCAATTTCCCAAAGTAATAGATAAATACAATAATCTGTAAATATGCTGGTTTTTTTTTGGACATGCAGTATACTAAGAATATCAGATAAATATATAAAAATAAAACAGTGCATTATAAATATCAAATGTCATCATAGAGTCTCTCTCCAATGTGTGTGTGTGTGTGTGTGTGTGTGTGTGTGTGTGTATAAATTTGACTCCTACACTCGGAACAAAATGTGTAGCCCATAACAATTAAAAAAAATACATGATAAATTCTTTTGATGATTTTTCAGCGCCATATTATTCGTGGGAGTGTCACAATGTTTATTCGAACCTCAAACTGAAGCTGCAGCGCGTTGATCTCCACAATGCGCGCGTCTCTCTTCTGGTTGATGAGCTCCACTTCGGCCTTGCGGATGCGTCTCTTGCTCTGGGCATCGCGGAGGCGGTCTGAGATCTGCTTGTGCTTGTTGCCCTGCGCAGCATAAAGCCAACGTCTTAGCTGCCTATCCGCTCGCTGGGTGGTTGGTGGCAGACGGAGAAGCGCCTCACCACGGCCTCCAGCTCCAATTCCAGACTCTTCTTCTTGGCTCGGAGCTGAGAGAGTTCCTGGTGCTCCCCTTCACGCGTCCTGCTCAGCTCCTCCTTGCGGCTACGCTCCCACTGCTCCTGACGCTGGCGCTCCAGCTCCTGCTTGGCTGCCTGCGGCCACCAAAACGACAAGGTGGCACCATTTCAACACACTAAATTTAACTCTATTCAATTCACGTACACCACACAACCGTGCAATTACAATTTTAAAGTCAAGGTTTCTAATTATTCATATTCAATTGAGTTTACAATTTAATTGATTTGTAGATGTATTTATTTTTAAATATAATTGTTTATAAAAACCGAAATGTGCCCTGATAGGAAAAAGCTTCGCCACCACTGCGACAAGTTTGGCGCTCGTGGATTTATTTTACAATTGTAGGCTGCAAGGTGTGCTAAATTGTGTCGGTCAGATAGTTGAAAACGTAGCCTGACCCTCACCTCCTTCTTCTCCATCTCCCTCAGCCTCTCTTCCTCGCGCTGCCGCTCCACTTGGCGCTGCCTCTCCAGGCGCCGCTCCTCCTCCAGCCGGCGGCGTTGTTCGGTTTCGCGGGCTTCCTTCTCCCGCCGCTCCCTGTCCTCCCTCTCCTCACGGGCCCTGCGCTCTCGCTCCTTCCTCTGCTGCTCCTCCAGGGCCTGCCTCCGCCTCTCCAGCTCGGCGCTGCCCCTCGCAAAGTTCTCCTTCAGCTTGTCCTCAAAGGAAACTGGAGAAAAAAGTTGTGCGGGATTGGTCATCATGTGACCCGGCAAGTGCCTTTCGCTTTTTCTTTGCCGCTTATGTGACGGTACATGAATAACATACCACTGCTCTTGTTCTTTAGGATAGGTTCTATCTCCAGTGAGTCGATTAAAGAGGGGCTACTGTAAGGTCCGGTGCCGTTGACGAGCTCACCGCACTTGAGGCCTCCTCTGCAATAGACGGATTCATATTGTGAGTAAATGATAAGCGCTAGGGTACATTCCCTGCTGAGCTGAAGTTTTGTTTTTTAGAGTCTTAGTTTAATCACTGCCTCAAGTTTGGTTGACGTGAATCCTTTGCTGAGGAGGAGACACCATCCCAAGCTTTATCCATCATATCCTACTGATTTAGACAGCAGGAAGATAGACCAACAGACTGTACATCAAACCGCATTAGTCAACAAAAGAACCACTCAATGGTAGGCTAAGGACTCATTTACTATTTGCTTTAGACTCATTTACTAATTGCTATCTCCCGAATTAAAAAAAAAAAAGTCTTTAAAAGAGCATGCTCACTACATCTGAATTTCCCACCATGTCAAGTTTTGAATCAGTTTAGCTGTCAAAATGTAAATTGCGGACTGTGTTAGGTCACCCTCCCAAGCAGTTGACCTCATGTAAAACCTTTTTGACTGACACTTCAAACATTCGGTAGAGAACAAGGCTGAAATCAGCACTTGGGCCTTTTTTCCTGTTTTCTTAACTCTTTCATTCCACAAGACGTACTTGTACGTCTTTTTAAAATTTGGCCCCGCCTACCAAGGACGTACTTGTAAGTCTAAGTCTTTTTTTTTTTTGCGTCATAGAGAGGAGGAGGGTCTGATGCAATCTGTGAATTAGAATAAGCCGTTTGCATTGTAAATCGTGTAAAAAAGCGACCAGTAGGTGGCAGTGGTGCCTCACGTGCTTGAAATGCATGCTTTTACAAAAAGCTCTTTTTCTTCGTCTTTTGCCCAGGAATCGCCATTTCTCCTCGATGTTTATATAGCATTAGAACCAAATATTCTGTGGGCCTTGCAAGATCAGTCAAAATCCAGTAAAACGCTGGGATTGAGGGCGTTGCTCCAGTGAAAAGGGATGGGATTGAATGAGTTAATCACTCTTCGGTGATTAAATGCCATGGGAGGCTTTGTTTATTAGTTGTGCCACCTGAGAATGATTTGCCTTTTGCCATTCGAAAGTACGTGCCACGTCAGGGTGATGTGGTCTATTAGAATTCATGAAAAAAATAACAGTTGCCGCCACTGGATGACTGTAGTGATTGGAGCAGTTTTCCGGTGGCATGTTACCTCAGAGGAGGCGGTATGAGGTCTTGGGGCAGGGTGAGCGGCAGTGGGCGGCCCGTCTTGGCCGTGTCCACCAGATGCATCGCCAAGATAAACTCGTCGGCCCTCAGCTGGCCATCCTTGTCCACATCTGCCAGGTTCCTGAAAAGACACAAGTGAGAAGGCGCGTTCGTGTCATTTTTGTATCAAAATTAATCGAATTAAAAAAAAAAAAAGGAAACAAAATCACGAACAAAAAATATATAGCAGGAAGAAGTCATTTCAAAATAGTCTAATAAATGATGAACTCACCAGATTGTAGCCAGTTGAGTTTGTGTAAGGTTGGATGCAATCAGTGCATTTCTCACTTGAGCCCCTGAAAAAAAAAAAAAAAAAAAAAACAACAAAAATACCTCAAACTTTTTTTTTGGACTGCAGCTTTTCTAACTTTCTGGCTGCTTGAGCGGTCAGGCAGCCATTTTGTTAGTTTAGCCGTACCTGACAAGTAGCCGCTCATGAGCTTGTCCAGCGTGTTGAACTGCTGCCGATACTTGAGTCGGGACGCTTGAGGCACGGCCCAGTCACTCGAGCCTGCCGTTGTCTTGGGGGAGTTGCTGGCCAGCGAAGTGGTGGACGAAGAGCTGGAACTCAAAAACACAGAAAAACAAGAGGGCGGACTAAGTATCTGCATATACATTAATATATCAGATTCATTGATTCTATAGTACTTTTGTCACTGGAAACATTTACAGTGCAACGCGGGAAATGTTTGAGAACATCTTCAGTTAAGCACGTCTCCAAGAGTTAAGCTGCCCTTCCATGTTAAAAAAATAAAACTGTTTTGTGTTTGCTATCTTCCAGAGGCATTGTGAATCATGCCTCACACAAAAGACGCTCGGAAAACCTACAAAAGTGAACTCATTCACTACCATCTGTTTTCAAAATGGAGTTTCCTAAACTATCCGACTCGTATCATGTTGGCATTTTCTCTCCTTCACAATCGATGGGACAAGCTTAGTCTCCTTTTAATCTTTAGCATGTATTCCGTGCCGACCTGAAATACAAAATGATCGCCATCTACTGGAATTTGTTCATCAGTACTGTTAGGTAGAAGCTTGAAACATATACTGTACATCGGTGGCAATGTTTGGAGTGCGGATAATATTACCGTCAAGGGCAGTCAATTAGTTCTGAATCGTTGCTAAATTTGGATGACGCCGAAAATGATCACAAAGCGATCTTGAAAACCTTTGCTCTTCATCAGTGCATGCTAAAACAGACTGCCAATGAATAGAGAAATTTCAGCACTGTCCCGAGGAGCGGCCGTCCTGTAAACTGATGACAGGACGTGTCCTTCGGGCAGTTTGACATACGCCTACTTACTATTGACGTGTTAAAACTGGAAACTGTTTTCAAATTGTGAAAAAAACAAAACGCCAGATGAAGTCACGTTAAAATTCAAACTGCATGTGTTTCGAAACAGGACTGATACAAAGGCGAGTGAATTGTTGTACACACATTCCTGGCACTTGTTTGAACATCTTCTTCGCATGAGGTGAGGACTCCATACAAAACTCTGAAATCAGATACAAGACCCAACCTGTTCCCTTAAGAAACATGCACGCTAACAAAGCTACCAAGGAGGATCGATGATATTAGATACCATTGTCACAAAATGCTTCACGCTGACATCTTAGTTTACACCATATTATGTCTCACTAGGGCACTCTTTTGTTTTTAAAAACAACCACAAAAAAAGGCAGGATTACCTTCTAAGCATTCTATTTCAGTGTAAACAATATCAGTCTGGAATGTTAAATGTCCTCCACATGGGAATTTTAGTGAATAAGTTGTATGAAAGGAAACTGGGCAAATTCCCGTTTCGCTCTGTTTGCCACTCTAAACTTCCTGCCGTCTCATCTGATTTGAGAAAAAAGTACTTCCTGCCCTGCCTAGCTATTATGGCATTCAATCAATTGTCAACTCGCAACTCTTTTTTTTTTTCTCTATATGTTTTGTATAGTAAGACATTACTGGCGGATTTATTTGCTGGATCACCTGCTGGATCCAAGGTCCACGAGAGAGTTGGCCTGAGACATGCCTCTGCTGCCAGGCGGAGAAAACGTCAGTGGAGAGGAAAAACCCGAGAGAGGGAGTCCTGGGAGAAAACAGCACGAGGAGAATGAAACTGGTACACATTTTTGGTTAAATTACCACATCCTCAAAATCCCAAGAAACTAGCAAAGTTAAGCCCCAAATTATTCACCTTTGAGAATTGATTTTAATTAATTTAAAATTAATTAATTAATTAATTTTATTAATTAATTTTTGGAAACTTCACCATTTGTTTATTTTTGTCAAGAAATTCAATGAAATATCTCATTTAAATGACGACTTGTTTTCTCCATTTTGTCAAAATAATTCCATAATTTCTTACATATTCTTATTCTTGCATTGCAATGTTGTAAAAATGAATCTACGATGCTTCATATCTGTCTTTTCAAAACTCGTTAGGCAAGACAACACCCACTCTTCAACATTCCCCAAAAAATCTAACACGACCCCCTCCAAAAAAAAAAAAAAAATCACGCTTTGGAAAAAAACCCTCAATTTAAGTATAGTTAAATCACGCCACTTTAATATCACGCCCCCATTCAACATCCTGACAGTTAGCTCACACCCATTACAAATTACAAAAAAAAAATAAAGGTGAAAAACGAATGACACAAAATTTTACTAACAGGCATTTTTCTAAGTGTAACATCATTTTTTTTCCACATTCTTGTGTTATGTCTAGACGACAAATAAAAATGACCTTTAAATACAAATTTGGCTATGTATGTATAAAGCCAGACGTGACAATTTGCAGTCGGACTGGTCAGCCTCGGTGGAGGTCGGCTTCAAGGCTGACATTCAGAGTGTGTGTGTGTGTGTGTGTGTGTGTGTGTGTGTGTGGGGGGGGGGGGTTGACAACAACACCTGTGTTTTCTTCATGCAAGCAACCTGTAAACCTTGAACGTCTAATCTTATCTGCCTGTGCGCGATTACAGTCGCAGCGCTTTTTGCACTCCGCGCGGGGCGCCTCATCAGAACACTCGTATCGCAGCCTGGAATCGGACACAAGCCAATCGGGTGCAGCCAAAGGACAGATGAGGGGGGTGAGAGATGGAAGAAAATAAGATGAAGGCTTGTGTGGGTTTACTCCGGGGAAGCTCCAGCTGCCTTCCACATGTCCAAAACATGCGCAAGTTCATTGAAAATCAAACCGTCCTTAGATACGAATCTACTATCAAAGTAAGCTGAACTCAAATCGACCAACTTGAGGTAACTTAGTTACTCAGTAAAAGTAATGCGTCTGATTCACTGTATTGCCCCCAAAATGGCTTCTCGTGCAGAACCGACCTGCGGCCATGAGAGGCGCGGGGGTGAGGAAGTGTAGGTGGCAGCGGGGAAAGCCGGCGGTCAGAGGCAGCGTCATCATGGGCGGCGCTGGTCGCAGGGGGGTGTTAGCGGGGATGGGGGTTAGGATGGACATGGCGGACATGGGCGGCGGCATGCCAACCGAGAGGTTCGGCAAAGAGCCCATCCCTGCAAGGGGGACGTGGAAAGTGGGTTAGGATGCAGGGTCAGTTGTGACTGAAAAATGGGCCACATTCAGAGATGCAGAAGTCAAAAAAGGAGTGTGACTGGCGTTTCGGTACATGTCCATGGGAATTGAAGAAATAGAGCAGTCCCACATTTATTGCATGGGATTATGTTCCAGAACTCCCTGCTATCGATGAAAAGCCGCAAATTAGCAATCATATTTGCATAAAGCATAATTCTAATCCAAAACATGCATGTGAAGTGCAGGTATCATTTTCTGTCAACTTGGAATTGCCATTCCCATGTTCTACTCTGTAGTATTTGTGACTCAATGTGTGGCTTTCAAGGTTGAGGCCTGGCCCAGTGAGTGAGGAGGAAGTCAGCAAACAACAGGATAGCCTTGGTGTGTCTGCACTAAATGTAGGACAAATCAAAAAATACTTTTTTTCATTAAATTAGCTTCAATCCTCAATGACCACCCCCAAATTCCAAGTAATCCTGATACATTTGCATAAAGCCCATAGAGGTTTGTAAAACAGTGATCCCTTGCTATTTCGCGGTTCGTTTATCGCGGCTTCAGTGCATCGCGGATTTTTTTCAAACATATTCATAAATTTTTTTTTTTTAAGTCCGCAAAAAATCCACAAACAGTCCCCGAGAAGCAGTGAAAGTCAGCAAAACAACAGCGAGTCACATACAGCAACATATACAGTACTATATGTATATGTTTACTGTATTTTGTTATTCATACACTAACCTAACCTAACTTATACATGTTTAAATCTATTAGTATACTGCATTAAGTCATGTTAATTACTACAAAATTGACTTCTACATGCATGTATACCAAATTTGGCCTTATAAATATTTTTTATACTCATACACATGTACATGTACCTATACGGGGGGCTACTTTGCGGATTTTCGTTTATCGCGGGTGGTTTCGGTCCCCATTAACCGCGATCAAGGGATTACTTTACATTGAAAATCCTCCATCTTAAATTTCTGTGGAAATTTACTGGAAAAGTTCCAGAAATGTACCACCAATTTTCCATTTCATTGAAACATGAGTCACACTCCTTCTTCTTATTCTTCTTTTTTTTTTTTTTTTTTTTTTGTACCGAAGCGGGCCGACGAAGGGTGGGGAGGATGAGCAACAGGAAGCTGCTTCAAGCCCATCGGCAGTGCAACGGGTAAACTCCGGCCCTGCAGCTTCAGCTTAATGAGCTTCATGGCGATGGAGAACTCCTGTCTGTCCATCTTGCCGTCGCCGTCCATGTCGGCGAGGTTCCTGAAAGAGACGTCACAATTCACAAGCGCGAGCACAAAATAAAATCGTCTTCAAGACGTGCACGGCATGCTGCATTTGTCCCGAATCTCTGGGCAAGCTGTGAGTGATCCCCATGCCTGGTGTAACTAACACACATGGTTGTTAGGTGGGTCAGGAAGTAAGAACAGTACAGGAAGTTGAAGCCAACCAAGCAACCGAATAAAAACACAGCCAAACAATGGCAGCAATTGTGCGGTTAAAGCATTTCCATTTGTAATCAACCAGGAAGCCGAGAGGCCCCGACTCACCAGATCTCGGCCAGGACGGACGGCGGCAGGCCCGACTGCAGGAAGAATCCTCGGGCTTGTTCACCTGCAGACGGGAGAACAAAGGTCACAGAACATTCTGGTGGGACTAGCAGCTGAGAGGATCGCTCAAAAGACGTTTGCACGTAAATACCTGAGACGTAGCCGAGGACGGGGGCCAGGGTGTCGAACTGCTTGTCGTGCTTCCCCCGCTCCTCTGGCGAGATGGACCACACTGATCCACCTGCAGACAACAGGTCACATGTACATTAAATAGACAGTTTGCATTCAAAACATTACTCCCAAAAAGGAAAAAAAAAATCAGAAAAGAAGGGAAAAAAGTGAATCAAGAATAGTAAACTACATGAGTAGTTTTTAAAATCATTTTTAGGTCTTCATATAAAATGTCATTTTCATCCCGCGCACCGTCTGTAAGGGTACGCACAACACTTACAAAGTTTGGGGGACAAATTTCAGCCTGCGCCGCAGCATTTGCCTCCCAAACGAGCCGACGTCCGCCCTTGATGCGTCTTTCGGCAATGATTTTGAATGCATAAAAATCCACGGTCAGCTGCTTTTACTCCTGCCGCATATCTCAAGGCAGTTTTCAGGGTGGCTATTAAACATGCAGCCGAGCCGCACGAGTGGAAAAGATGGAGATATCAATCAATTAGTCACAGGGGGAGTTGAGCCAATTACAACGTGATGCCACAATCGTTTTTTGAAAGCGGCCCAGCTGTTTTTTTGTTTTTTTTAACGGGTCAGAATTGAGTGTCGGGACGTTACAGTTGCTGATGATGAATGGAGTTGTCACAATGGATTCATCAATCACTTTCTTGGATGCCCGCAAACTCATGCGTCATTCACACATGCAAATGTCTCGCTTGTTAATATTCCAATTCGAAACATTGCAACCTATGCATTATACATTTCGCCCCAGCCGAATATTCTATTCATATCATTTCGTCGTTAGGATAGTTCATACAAATCATGTTACCATGACAACTCAGCTGCATATTTAATATATATATCTCTTGAAATATGATTAACTAGTAAAAGAATGCAAGTTATTGTTAACTCTTTCACTCCACAAGACGTAATTGTACGTCTTTTTAAAATTAGGCCCCGCCTACCAAGGACGTACTTGTAAGTCTAAGTCTTTTTTTTTTGCGTCATAGAGAGGAGGAGGGTCTGATGCCATCTGTGAATTAGAATAAGCAGTTTGCATTGTAAATCATGTTAAAAAGCGACCAGTAGGTGGCAGTGGTGCCTCACGTGCTTGAAATGCATGCTCTTACAAAAAGCTCTTTTTCTCCATTTTTTGCCCAGGAATCGCCATTTTCATGAAACTTAGCCATTTTGTAATGCCGATTGCTGAAGAATGGAAAGGATAGAAACAACATTTTTTTTTCTGCTGAAAGAAGAGAGTCCAAACTTTATCTTGGTAGGCTCCATGTTTAGAACCAAATATTCTGTGGGCCTTGCAAGATCAGTCAAAATCCATTAAACCGCCAGGATTGAGGGGCTTGCTCCAGTGAAAATGGCTGGGATTGAATGAGTTTTAATCAATTACATCAGGATTTTTGTCATATATCATCGCTGTCAGGTGGAAAACCTGGATGTCCAAATATGGTCAATTTCATATTTTTTCATCAATGATACTATTGGTTTGTCTCCATATTTTTTTGTTATTTTGGAACGGGCCGATGGCGTTTCGTTTGATTTCAACAGAGAAAAGGGATTAGATATACGAGTAAAATCAATGTGACAGAATGAATTCAACTTACAAGTGAAAGTACCATTGTAGTTTACATCATGGCATAAGCAAATGATTAAACCAGCATGCCATTTACTAGGTTGGAGTGATCTGAATTTATTGCACTGCAACACCTTGGGAATGATAACGATAACGCCTTTTATGCCATTTAGCATCCTGACTCATTGGCTTCATTGACTTCAGGAAATGCCAGCCTGCCAATAACGGAATTTCCCCCAACGTAACCCCAACATCCGGTCTTGGCACGCACACAACAAAGTCCCCCGGATCTTGCCTCCGGATGAAACTGGATCAGCGATGTGTTCAAAATGGAGTAGACCAGAACCAACACCATCCAGCAAGGTTGCCGTCACGAAGAAAGGTGCGTTTGACCCCTTCACCTGCTTTCCTCATTTAGGCCGCTCACTCTGCCCCACGTGAGCATGGTCAACACCTGCGCGGGTACGTTTCTTCCCACAGGCTGACCCACTTTCTGGTATTGTCAGCAAAAGCTGAGGTAATTAATCGGGCGCCGGTGGATGCGACTACTGCACTTGGCGTGTCGGATTTGGCGCAGCCCCGCAGGGACTGCAAGTGGCACGCGGCAAAGCTCCTTAACGGGCTCGGGAGCGTTCGCAAGCTAACGGATGCTCACTGGGAAGCTGGAAGAGAAGATAAGTGACGCTCAGTCAGAAGTCCGCTTTTGAGGTTCTGTGTTTAAAAAAGGGCGTGGCAGTTGCAGAGAGCCTCCATGCCAGGAGGTGCAAATCGTTACTCGTCAGCAGCCAAGAGAGCTAAACGTTGCATCTGGTCTAAAACGAAAAGGGCAACTGTTTGGCTTAAATACTTGCCAGTAATTTACCTTTTTAAGGTAAGGATATTTCTTAACATAGTGAACCTGAAAAGCGATTTATCTTAACATAGCGAACCTGAAAAGCGATTTATCCACTTCATTATCAAGTGTCAAGTACAACTTTATTGTCATATGTGCTACAGATGAAATTTCCTCCCTCTAAAACAGACAACAGACAACAAGAGGAGCCGCTGCGGGTGCCCCCGCCGCCATCAAAAGAACACTTAACATAAAATGACAAAATAATACAACATACTTATGTGTGTTCATTAGTTTATTTTTTATTTATTTTTTTAAATTTTATTTTAAAATATAAATACATAATATAAAGATGAAAGTCCTCCGGATTTTCCCGGAATTCCGGGTTTTTCAAATTTTTATGAAAATTT